CACTCTAATAGTCATTACTTTAACAACACTCTTATTTTTTTTGTTTACTAAACTGTTGTTTGTTTTGGTAATTTTTAGTTAGTAAACAATCGGATATTTTTAAGAAAAAAATGTGGAAATGATATGGATATAGACGCATTTTTGGCTTTGGAAAAGCGGCGTTTAGCCGAAGAACGTCAACGACTATATGAACAAGCCCTGGAACTCAATTCCTCCAGAACTTCCGATACAACACCAACAACTACTTCCATGGTAAAAGAACATGAGAATCAGCAAAAGCCAAATGAAGAAATAACTATTTTAAATAAGAAAACAAAAGACTGGATTAATAAACAACACAATAATAAAACTAATAATGAAGATGCTAACGAGGCTCCTAGTAGTAATAGGCCGAAGAAGAAAAGTCCGGTAAGTTTGTTTTGAATACAAAGTTGGTCTCAGGTTGGTAGCTGCTAATAAGTTTCTCCTTAAAAGGTATATGATCAAATATTCCTTATTAGTTTAATGCAGATTCTATTGTTTACAATATGTATTTAAAAATTAAAATCAGAAAAGTAAATATACCAACCCATTTCTTGTAAAATAATAAAATAATGTGATTAATTAACCATATAGCGCCGCAAAAATAAACAACAATATTTATTTTCGCACATACAAACCTATACAATGTGCTGTACATTAGAATAACTTTGTGTAACCCAAAAACTTTAAAACATTAGGGAAGATTAACCTCAAACTAAATCTTAAACTTAAATATATTATGGAATAAAAAGCCAGCAAAGTTGCGGTGATAATGCTTATTATTATGGAGGAAAGACAAAATCAAATATCTCTTTAAATTTAATAATTATTTGCTGGAATTGTTTAAAATGTCTTAGTTTCTTAGAGAAATGCCTCCCTAATAAACATACCTTCATTCTGCGTGCTTATTGTATGTAGTTAAATTATTATTATTGTTCATATACTGTGGCTTTATTTTTTTACTCTAGGTGGGTGGGTATATGATAATTTTACTAAATATGCATGTTTTGTGCAAAATTATTTTGTCGTTGCTTAATGTACGTCTAAGCAGAAGTGAATTAGTTTTCCATATTATAGAATTTATAGGCCGTAACACCTTTTCTTTCTTTTCTGTTTTTGGCACTATTTTTTGTAGTGCACATTTCAATACGTTAATAATTTGTCATACAATGAGTAGGAAAAAGTAAAAAGTATATTTTTTATTTAGTTTTACGGTGACTTAAGTGGTAATTGGACGTGAAGATATTGTTCTTTTTCTTTTGTATTTTTTTGTTTACAAAATTGAAAGTAATTTTTCTATATTTACACTAAACTATATACAAGACTATGCTTTAAATTACAGATAAACTATAAAAGTACATTCGATTTTGACCACTTTGAATCTAAACAGTTTTTTATTGTTATTGTAATTCTAAAAATATTTATGTATATGTTTAAACATAAAGTAAAAGTGGGAGTAAAGTTTGAAAATTAAAATATTCCTATAATAACCGTTACTTCATGTCCTCTTCTACACTCACTTCACTTCTAAAGGAAACACTATCTAAGGGGGGGTTGTTTGCTATAAAAATAGTTTTTCTTTTAACTTTACGTTTACTTCCTAAACATTGTTAACAAAAATAGTAAAACTCATGCACGTGCTATAGGGCCTGTTAAAATTTTGTCATGATGATGACTTTGCCAGCCACCTTTACCACCTAAGGTGGAGAAACAACAGTAGTAGAAATAGGTCTGTAGTAGAAAATTTACTCCCTTGGCCTACATTTGTCTGTTTGCTGAGAAGAGTTTGTTGGTGTGAAGAGTTGCAGTGCTCAGTAGTAGTCCCCAATAAAGAATAATTTTTTACAAACTTACATAAATATTATGAGTAAAAAGTTATTTTGTACTTAGTAAGAGGACAACAATAAACATGCCAAAATTTAGCAAATAACTATTTATGTATGTTAGTTGTATTTTTGGACTTAGAGGAAGGAAGCATGTTATAGAAAATTAACATTAAATATGTATCAAAGTTTTGTGATTGTTGTTAAGTTTTGTTTATAATAAAATGTGTTTTTGCCTTATTTTTTATTTTTACACTTTTAACAGGATGATATGGAGCAATGGGTTTCGGATACATTTTATTCATATTTTCCTGGTTTTAGTAATGAATATCAAAAACGTCAAAATGAATTGCAAAAAAGACAACTTGAAAATCAGGAAAATTTAATTAAACATCAGGTAAGAATAACAGCTTAAGTAAACTTATTTGTTTGTATTAAAATGACTCTGGTTATATAGTTATTACATTCCCGTGCAACAAGAAAAAATAAACAATTGAATATGGAAACTTCCAATATAAATAGTGCCCGTTCTAATAACTCTTCTTTGACCTCAAATGGTGCACACGGTTCTTTACATACTGCTGCTAAGACTGATCTGGAAATTATCAATGTTAATAATCCAAATTATGTGCCTTCTAAGCATTCAGCCAACACAGTGAGACCAGATTCTGCACGCTATAGATTGCTGCAGGATTTAAGACATACAAATCTAACCAATTTGGTAAATGGTTCAGAAGACGTTTTGGAAATTAATCGTAAACAAGCAGAGGTAGTTTATTAAAATATGTGATGTTAATTTGTTAAATAATAATATTGCTTATTAGCTGGAATCGGCTCGTAAAAAAGAGTACCAACGAGAACTTATGCAACAAATAGAAGAAAAACGTCGTACCATTAAACAGTTAAGGGATAAAGAACATCAACAGGAAGAGGTATTAACCAGGTAAATTTGATTTAAAAATAATTAATACCACAAATTTTAAAACACTACCATTTAAAGGCGTTTGCAGGAACAACTGAAAACTATGAAACTGGAAGAACAATTGGAAAAGGAAAGAATTAAGGCAGTAAAGGTAGGAAAAACTCAATTAGTTGAAGGAAATTAAAAACAATCGAATTCTTTGACAGGTACGTTTTGATGCCGAACAAAATCGTTTGACCAGAGAACATCTTTTAGCCAAGTTAGAAAATGATTCTCAGCTACTTTTAAATGCTGATCTTAATGCCTTAACTATTAAAAAGCCCACAACCTTAAGCCAGGAAACTAATAAAGAAAATATTTCCCATAGACCGGATAACAATAATAAGGTCTACAAATATTTTAGTAACTCCGAAAAACATGAATACAACTACCGCAATAAATCGTCTTCATTGCCCACAGAAATTGATTTGGAATTAGATCAAACAGAAATGGCAAAAATTGAACGTGAATGTTTTCATTTGAGTGAAAAGATTTGCCCCATGTGTGATGAACCCTTAAAGGAATTGGAAAACTTTTGTCTGCGTTGCCAAACCAAATTATCATTTCGCATAAAGTCTCCCTCCACGGGTAAAACCACAACAAAACATTTTATTAACAAAAATTCCAAATCGACAGAAAATGAAAGTGATAAAAACTCAGAGCCTCAAGAAACTGAAGCAGAGCGTAGCTTTTTTCTGGTATGTATAAGATGTGAACGTTTGTATTCGTGGTGTAAAACCTGTAGCAGTAAAAGTGATGTCTGTAGAGCATGTCAAAATACTAGAAATCTTTGCATGAGTTGTCGTAAGACATTGTGTTCGTTCTGTTTAGAAGAAGTAGCCTGTGGCAAGGATACCGAAAGTTTGCACATTAATGATAAAAATGTAAGCTTAACGCACTTTTTAAATAAAAGTAAACTTATTTTATACATTTTCTATAATTTTAGGAATCAGCTAAAGTTAATGAAACTGCTGCACAAATGTCCTTTCACATTATGAACGATAGCAGAGACTCTCTTAGAAATGATAATAAAAGCTCCAATATCCCCTCCTCATCCTTGTCACATGAATATTCTTCTTTAAATAACTTAGATTATACTAATCATCCACCGTATTCCATGAATATTGAACAAAATTCTGTTTTCCATCCAGATAAACAATTTTCATTATTTGCCCCTACTGAGGAGGAAAATCTCAAGTCACCCCCTGAAAATAATTTAAGTTTTCTTAATGATAAGGAACAATTTTTAAATGTAACAAATAGTGATGATGATAAAAATATAGAAAAGCTGCGTCGTGTTACCGATAAACGTTTGTCCCGCTATTTAAAGAATTACGGTGATCTGGCCTATCAAACGCGTGGCACCCAAACAACACCCACCAGCACTGGTCGTCGGGATATTGTTATACAGGGTGAACATAGTCTGTCCATACCTCTAATGCGTGAAATGCCTAAAATGACTCGCATGGAAGCGGTTAAATTTAAGGAAAATTCTAAAGAATTACAGGATTTGCAGAGACGTTGGGATGTAAGTTTGTTTTTGTAAAAAATATTTTATATTTATTAAGAACTTTTCGTTATTGGCAAATTACAGATTCCGGCTGTTCAAAAATATACCATATCCCCGGTATCGCCTAAAGTTGTGACACAGGTGGGAGCAATTAGGAAACAATTACAAATAGATAGACTATTTTCGGAAGATGCCGATTCTTAATTAACTTAATGCAAAAAACAAATTAATATTTTACTACAATTACATTTTTAACTTTTACTTATATATGCAATAATAAAATTATTGATAACTTTTTATAATGAACTTAAAAAAATAACATTTGAAAATCTTCTTAACGGCTTAACAATCTGCAGATAATGTAAAATATAAATATTTTCGAGTAATACTCTCATTAAATTGGAAGCCAGCCAGAATTTTCGCTTATAAATTGATTCAAAATCAAATAAAATTTATTAATTTATCGCTTCACCGCCAACTTGAGAATAACTGAAGTAAATTAAGCGATTTTTAACACAATAGTTAAAAAAACAAAACATTACCATCACTACTCTAAGAACTAATCTAAACAACAATCGATAACATATAATACCCAAAAATACAACTCTGTTTGTTTAGCGCGCGCGATAACAGCCATGTAAAAACGAACAATACCAAAAGAAAAATAAAAAGAAAAGATAGAAAAAAATCAGTTGTTGGAAAAATGGCTGACGGGTGTTAAATTTTTTTCGTATCAAGTGTTTAATTAATAACTATTTTAAATATAGATTAATTAAAATTATCTCAAACAAGTTAAACAAATGTAATATTTTGTGGTTTTTACAAAAACATTCAAGATTTTCATAAAATTTTCATGTGAAAAGGTAAAAAAATGTGTGTCTGGCAAAAGTAAAAAATTGTAGTACTCCTCCGCTCCGGTGCAGACAGTGAAAACTAAAGAAAAAATGTAATTGAAAAAATCATAGTACATATTTCCCTGTATAAAAAAATGTCTCTTGATAGAAAATAAATTTAAAAGAAAATAATTGACATAAAATAAAATTTCTTTATAATATGTACAAAAAATATGAATATCAGATAATTTGAAGTTTTTTTTTATTTGAAAAGAAAATATATGTATAGAAGACTTGTGTATATGTATGTGTAGTGTATACAGCCGGTAATTATACATTTTTTTCTCTAAACATTTGATGCTGTTGTAATGTTGCCGGAATGATTTTTTTAAGAGTTTACGCGTTTTTACTTAAAATTTGTGTTTAAGGGGAATATAAAAAAAAACTTGTAAAGAGTGAACCAATTAAAAATACATTTTAACATAAATTTGTTGTGCTAATTTGATTTTTCCCACCAGATTTCACGTGCAAACAATTCATCCCCATAAAGTAATCAATTTATAATAAAATATCATGATGAATAACCAATATAATACCGCAAATATTACGGCACAACATGGCTTACAAATGGCACAGCATGTCACCACCTCACCGCCACAAGCAGCCGTTCTTAATACATTCCTCAATGCACAACAGCAACAACAACAGCAGCAACAATTGGCTGCAGCCGTAGCAGCTGGGGCTATTTATGGCGATCCTCGGCAATTGCAAATAAATTCAAATACTTTGGATAAAAATTTTTATACTACCACAGCGGCTGCCACATTAGGAGCTTTAGGAACGCCACAACGTTTCTATACCACAGCTGGAGCACCGGCAGCAGCCGCAGGAGCCACAAATCCAACGGCCGCACATCATCCCAACACAATTTTAATAACAAACAATTTTGCCCATCAACAAGCAGGAGCAGCATCATCATTGAGCCCTGAGCAACAGCGCAATATAAGAATTGTTACCTCTACCTCCAATCCATTAAATGCTGCAAATAGTGGTAGTATGGCAACCACGGCAAGTGGCTTTCAACATGCTCAACATGTTTTCAGTTTGAACAATAACAAACAATTGCAACATTTGTTTCCACAACATTTATTGCATCAATCGAATTTCCAGCCAGCCACAACAACAGAACTGTTGCAACAACATTTTGCTTCGCAACATTTTCCAGCATCAGCAGCACCACAACAACAGCAGCAGCAACAAAATCCACATTCTGCGGCCTCGACCATACAAATGTCACAATTCTATGTGTCACCGGAAAACTCCATAACCGGACCACTCAATACAAATCCCAAAATAATAACAAATATACCCTCGAATAGTGCTAACACTGGTGTAAGCAATACCGCCTCGGCACCTTTAGTAGCAGGCAATGGCAACAATCCCAACACCACCTCCACTGTCGTATTGGATCGCATAAATATTTGCATTAATAACTTATACACCGATACTTCATCCTCTTCTTCGGCATCCAATTCACTGGCGTCTACACCAGCCCAACAGCCTTCGCCTATAATACCAGCCATACAACATAAGCCGATTATAGAAAATGGTCCAGCTTTGCCTTTGGCCGATATCTATGAATCAAATGTTTTAGTAATAGACGAACCAGATTCGACTACCACTGCTACTACACCGCATACACCACCCACAACGCCTGAAAATACACCTCCTTCTATGCCAAATACAGGAAACAACAATAATAATAATATTATCTCCACTACTAGTTCCATTAATAGTCCTAGTACATCATGTAATTATCAAAAACTGGATAAATCAAATGCCATAACAACAACAAAACAAAGTTTTGCATCGGCCGCACAAAATATTGAAAAAGCAGCACAAGATTCCACAACAGACACTAGTAAAATTTCCCAATCGAATAGTTTAGTACAACAGCCACAAACAACAACAACCTCCAATACCCCCTTAACACCGCCTACACCACCCTCACCCGAAATGAGTAACCAAAATAAGGAATATTTAAATGAAACTAAACAATCTCCTTCTGCTACCATAACAGCTCCTCCTCCACCTTTATTTGCCAATGGCGAAGATGTTTTTATAAAACGACACGATGATCGTTTCTATCTGGGCACAGTTATTGATACCGCACGCAATCAATTCCTAGTGCGTTTTGATGATAAAACCGAAGTGTGGTGTGAGGCCGACGAAATGCGTAAATTGGGTGGCTCTACTAACAACAATAATTCCACAAACGAGGATAAATCTGTGGATCAGCCCATGTGTGTTGCCTGCAAACGTTTACGTCCCGATTCCCAAGTGGAGATTTGTGAACGTTGTGGTAGAGGTTATCATCGCAAATGTACCTCTGAGACAGCACCGGGTAGTGATATTTGGCTGTGTAAACGATGTGCTAAACCCATGAAATTAGATGATTCTTCAAAATTCAGTTCTACCGAAGAAGAAACTGAAGTTGAAACTTGTCTGCAATTGCATTACAATGTAAGTGTATCAAACAATCTTTCCAAAGGTTAAGAAAAAATAATAAAAAATTACTTCTGTTTTAGATTGAATCTCTTACATGGGATGTTAAACATCGTTCAAATGAGGAACAAATCTATTGTTATTGTGGCAAAACGGGTAAATTCGACAATAACATGTTGCAGTGTTGGCGTTGTTTGAACTGGTACCACAGTCATTGTACACAAAAGTTTAAAAGTCAACTGGTGAGGGGAGATTGGTACGTTTCCTTTTTATGAAGTTTTTTTTAGATTAAATAATTAGTGATTTACTGCCTTCTTATTTAGCTTTTTTGTATTCTGCTGTTCTGTTTGCAATGAGGGCGATGAGTATTTAAGACGTCTTCAAGCCAGTTGGGTGGATTTAGTACATTTGGTGTTATACAATCTTTCGATTTTGAAAAAGCATCATAAAACTCATCATTTGCTAAAGGATATAAATCCTTTTGTTTTAGAAAAAAGAAAACTATTACCCATACCAAAAGAGGTTGGTTATAGTACAACATGTTCTTATTATTACTTTGTGTTTAACATTATGGTTTACTTCTTTTTTAGTGGATCTCAATGCCAGAGAAGGAATTTTTGGATAAAATCAAATCTACCCTCAATGAAAATTCGCAGCTCTTCATGAGTGGCAAAGAAATAAAGCGAGATGTGAATAGTTTTGCTTTGCGTTCCCTGCAGCCACCAGAAATCAAGAAATTTCCCATTAAATCAATAGATACATTTAATGATGATTTTGTTTTTAATAATTTGAAACTAAAACTTTTAAATGATGCTCCTGAAAATATTGGTTTCAAATTCTTAAACTCGAATTGCCGACAACAAATAGAAAATACTCCCACTTCAAAAAGAAAACTAAATGAAGACTCTAGTTCACATGATGTTTATGAGTTCGATGATACCTCAGATGATGAAATACCCATTAAACGTATATTGGATAAAGTTAAAAGAACTAAATTATCACCACAAACAGAGGCACAAACAGCACGTGACATGGAACCAAAAACGCCCTGTAGCACAAAGAAAGTAACCACTGTTAGTACGTTGGAAAAGATGGATGTAGAAGATGACAATGCAAATGATGCAGTGCCTGAGTCAGAAGCATATACCTTAACTACGCCAAAATCTAAAAAGGAGCAATCCCCTAAAAAAGAAACAAAAACCATCAGTCCCCATAAATCTCCCAAATCCAAGGAGCCAACATCCGCATTAACTGTTGCTGTTGACAAAATAAAATCTGAAAAAAGTTCACGCAAACGTAAAGCTTTTACTTTATCCAAAAGCTATACCGCACCACGTTTAATCGATTCCTCATCTGATGAAAATTCCAGCAGCAGTTCCCGTGGCACTTCATTAGATTTGATAATACCGCCACCTAAAAACTTTCTGGGACAAAATAATCCTTTTAGAATAATATCGCCCAAAAAGAATGATAACTCCACAACATCTAGTGGAAAAAAATCCGTAAGCTTTGGTATATTCAATACTACGGCATTGAATTTTAGTTCAAAATTAGCTGCCCTTAAGAGTGCAGGTTTGTTTCCCAAATTAAGTACAAGCAATCTGGCCAAAGCTGCCGGTCAGCCAAGGACAGTACGCACTATTAAGCGAAGACTGAGTGCCAAAGATATAACAATCGGCCCAAATAAAGAAGTGCGCAGAAGACGTACCAGAAGACTCTCATCGAACATAGAAGTAATTTTAAACACTTTTTTATCTATCATAAAGTAGAAGAACTAATTATTGTTATTTGCAGGTTATAAGTACAACTACCATTAATCCCATTCCTACAAACTTTTTCCCCATACAAGCCAAAGATTTATTAGCAGCTGCAGCAGCTTCTACCACTACTGCCGCCTCTCTATTTACTAACACAACAACTAAAACATCGCCAACGACCTCGTCATCAAATAATAATAATAACAATAGCATTAGCACATCTCTAAACACTTCTCCAAATATAGATACAAGCAATGTGGAAAATACAAATGTTCCACTGCCACCACATGGTCGTCGTTTAAGACAAAGACCCCAAAAAAATTCACCCAATGCCAGCAGACGCAGTTCAGTTTCCTCTAATCAATCTTCAACCTCATCAGTTTCGGCCGCTGCTGCAGCAGCAGTTAATAACCAAACCTCACAACCTCCTCCTCAGCCGTCTCATGAAGATTTGAAGCAAACTGTTAATAAATACTTTGGTATTGTCAATCGCATCGAATCGGGAGAACAATTCTCTATACGTGCCAAACGTCAATTAGCCAATGGACAAATGCAGTATTTAATAGAATGGGGAGAAGCGCCAAATGTTACAACAGCAACAACAATAACACCCACAGTTACAACTCAAACTCTAGCAGCGGAGGAATTACCATTAAAAGCAACTGCTGATGACACAACCAATAGCCAGCTAATGGAAGTCACAACTACAACTAACACTACCACTTAAGTTTATAAGCAGTAGGAAGGAGTATTATATTAGCTGATACAGGATTAAAAAGGTTGTGCATGTTTTCAATTTGATATTTTAATATTCTTTTACTTTTGGACCTTTGAACCTTTGGTGGTAAGTGATTTTTATTATTTAGTTAAAGTTATTTTATTGTAACATGTTGGGCATTAAAAAATCTACAAATTGTTATTGATTTGGCAAATGACTGCAAAATTTTGGAATCTACTTGTTAAAAATTATTTTTAGCTTTATATAAACAAATGTGTATGAATTTCTTTGATTTTGTTTAAAAAATTTCTTGCTAAAACTAGTTAAAACATTGTGAAATTAATAAAAAACAAAATTATTAGAAACAGAAATGAAAATAAACCCTAATTGCGAGAGCAAGTTTTATTTTTTCATTAAAAAGACTTTTTTTAGAATAAGTTCTGCAGAATTCACTTTATTATTTCATACAGCAGAGCAGCAGTATTGGAACTTTATACAAAATGAAAAACAAAAATTGCAACAAATCTCACTGCCAAACCTTAAATAGTATTTTGATTTTGCTTTTTCCTAAAAAGAAAACCTTAAAGGATTTAATTGTTAAAAGAAAGAAAAAAAAACAATAAATAATTTAAATTAAATTAAACGTATTACAGGATTATTAGTGTGCAATGGCAGAATTATTATATTATTATTAAACTAAACATGTATTTATTTTATAATTTTCCAAAACATTTCACATGCATAGTAGTTATTATTATTAATATTAAACTTAACATATAACGTATATTAATGTTTTATTTACTTTATGATATCATTAAAAAAAAAAACGAAAACATATTAATTTTTAGACAAATTTCTTTAACAACAAAACAAAATCTTAAAGATTAATACAAGTACTATATTTAGGCAAAGTTATATACTTTATAATAAACTTTAAACTTTTTTATTTTTCTGTTTTTTTTTTTTTTTTTTTTTTTTCTTAAGATTTTTAAAAAATTATTATGTAATGTATATTTTGTTATAAAAATTACATTTAAATTTAGTTACAAAAAAACATATAAAAATTATAAAAAAAAAATTACACTTGAATTTAGTTACAAAAATCTTTATATTAAAATTTGAAATTGAAATTTATTGCTATGTTGTTTAAAAACTTTAAAGTTTTATATATAAAAAAAAAAAAGAAAAATTGAATTATGTAAAATATCATCATTGTATTAGCTTAAGTCTTTTTATTATATTTTAAAAAATTTCTTTTAGTTTTCAGTTTTTTTTTTAGTTAATTATCTTATTTTTTCATTTATTTATTTTTAATTCCTTATTTAATATTGTTTATTTTTTTTCACTTTTCCTTTTTTATATATGTTAAGTATTTTTATTTTGAATTTGATGTCATAATTATTAATAAAACAAAAACTCTTTATCGATGTGTAAAATGTATGTAAAGTATTTCAAAAAACTAAAACTACAGAGTATAGCGTGACATGATGATTAATCTACAACATACAAATAATTGGAATAAATATATTGAAATATCTTTTTTGTGTACCGAAATGTACTGTAAACTAAAAGAAACAAAATATGCAATTTTATTTTTAATTATTTTCCACAATTATTTTGAAAAATTGGTGAAAAACTTCTGCTGATATTTTAGGTTAGGTCGTTAATTTGACCGTTAGATTGCCGTTGAGTTTTTGTATTAAAAACACGAATCAGCTGATCCGTCACATTAAAGTAAAACCCAGTCAAACATTTTATTTAGGAAACAACAACGACAACCATAGCAACAAAATATTATTGACTTTATTTATTTTCTTAAATATTTTTGCTATTTTTTGGGTAGTATAACAAGTTTAAAGAAAATTTAACAAAGTTTAAACAAGATTTGACATTAGAGAAACAAAAAAATATGTTTAACAAAAAAATTAAGCCACAAACAATGCAAAAGTTAAAACAAATTAATTGCTCAATGAAGGACAATGAAGGCAAGTCCAGCTTAAAAATTATACTAAAAACTCTGAATTATATGTAATTTATACTACTTCTTTACTTTTTTAAAGAAATCTCCCTAGAAAGACAAACACAAATAAATAGTATTATAAGAATAATGCAAGAATCACTGGATAAATTGCGGATTTCACTAATATTACCGCAAATTTTTGAAAATTTTCTTACCGTACAACAACGTTTAAGGGGCTCACAATATGAAATGTGTATAGAATGGTTGCAGAAATATATACAGGAAAAGGTACAATAAAGAACATTTATATAACTTTATCATTTCTAATATTTCTTTATTTTAGAATATGGTTCCAGCTAATAACCCTCCACCTCATCTAAATTATCGTTTAATTAAAATTATAGATTTCTTTCATGAAAATTTGCAGTTATTTGAATATTTTAACGATTTTTTAAATGATCTAACAACAGCTGATAAATCTCTGATATACACATTTCAATTGCTGCTTAAAATAACCGAAGAGCGTCTAAAGAAATCTGCCATATCGGAACTAAATAAAGAGAAACGTATACACGAAGTCTATCATGAAAATCAAAGTATACAAAAGAATATTAAAGGTAAGCATATCAAACTTGATAAAGTTTCGAATAAATTCCATTTCTGTCTTAAAACCAGTTTTCCAGAATCTTTTGAAAAGTCAGCGTATAAATTTGAAATGGAAAATGGCGGCCAAGGATGGCATTATACAGAAATATGAAAAAGATTTGGCCACTTGTAAATATGAAAACAATATAAAGATTAAACAAGAAATGTAAGCAATTGTTTAAAACTAAAAATTTTCTTTATAAAAAAACACAAACTAAAGCTAACTTATCAAAATTTAAAGAGTACGCTCCAGTCGTCTTATCGGACAAATCCATGCCTCTAGTGTGCTTAAACAAAAAGAACTAAAAGAAGAACTTGAGCGTATCAAAATAAGTTATGAACAGTTATTAAAAGAAAATTTAAAACAAGAAAGATCAGCTAGAGACGAAAAGTGAGTAGTTTAATTTTAAACACTAAAACCGATTTATCATATTTTGTTCAATTTTACAGAAATAAATTACTTCTTCAATTGCAAGCTTTAATAAAAAAGTTCGACCAAACTATGGGCGATAAAATCAAAGAGAACATGTTTCTGCAAAAAGAATACGAACGTCAGAAGAAATCATTTGAGGAATTTTTAATTGAATACAATAGAGAAGAGCTGGAATATGAACAGATAGTACGAGCCAAAGAAGAGGAGGAAAAGCGACAACATGAACAAAAAATTCTACTCTTTATGATGAATCGTTCGGCTCGTGTTATACAAAAGCATTGGCGTAAATTTAGGCGGGCCCAGAAAAAAGCCGCCAAAAGAGGAAAAAGTCGGGGAAAGTCTAAAAAGAAATAAAAATGTACTACTGACTTTATAAATTAACGAAATAAAACTATTATGCTTTGATAAAAATATCAGTTTTTTATTCAAATTATTTAGATTTTGTTGTGAAAAAGTCGTAGTTTTCTTTTGTAAAAAAAAAAACAAATAAAATATTCTTGCCAACAAACCCAAAAAAAGTTAAAATATTTTTTTTGTTCACCTTTTGATTCAAACTCAAAAATGTTCGTTATTTTATATCCCGGTTTGATTTGAATTTGTGCAAAAATAACTATTTGTTTAAATATACGCTAAAACGCAAATAGACTTTAAAGTTTCTATTAAATTTTAAAACTCTGGAAGAGATCTTTTTTAATAAGCCATTTTTGTATGTATTGTAAATCTATGTGCGATCTTTCGTGTCTACAAACAGCAGATTTTGAGAATTATTTATATAGACAAGCTATTTTAAACCAAAACAACAAAATATAGAGATACTTGTGAAGAAATTTTTATTAAAGATCTAGGTAAGTCTAACGCTTTTTATTAAGATATAGTTTTTTTAAAAATAATATGCTAGAGTTTGAATCATTAAATGCATCATTACAAATACATTTTGTTAAAAACGCTAAAAAGCTTAAAGTAAATAAAATCAATCTGGCAGTTACATTTATATTAGTTTTGTTTTTTGCTGACACAAACATTTACGTTTGTTGCCTATTAAATTACCACAAGAAGAAAAGAGACAACATTATATTCTTATAAACATAACACAATATGGCCATATGTTTGTTGACTTTAATATTTAATTTGAATATATTTAATTTTAAAACTTTTTTAACTAATAAAATTGTAAAATTCTTTTAAGAAATTATCTAAAGTTAATAATTTATTAATGTTAAAGTCATTTATAAGCTTTTTATATAAAACGTAATGCCAGCGCTACATATTTGTTGCGTATTACAATCTGGCAACTTTAGCTTATTAATGGACGATTTTTTTGTTGGAAATTTTCTTCGAATTTTCTCTTTCATTTCTAACCGACCGTTAAACGAGTCGAGTCCGTTTTGGTGAGCGGTCGTGAGTTGAAGAACACGGCTTATCACATTTTTTTGTGAAATTAAAAAAAAAAAATAAAAAAACCCAAAAAAAAATATAAAAATAAAAAATTAACAAAAAAAATTGTAAAAAGTAGCAAAAATCGAAAAAGTGTAAAAACGTAAGTTGCAATAATAAATACATAAATGAAAAACGAACAATGATTGCAAAATTTTGTTCATGGACAAAAGAAAAAAAACGTGGTGTGGCTCGCTATGAAAAAATTGAGTGAATGCAATAGCTGCATAAAGAAATTGTATATGATAAAAAGAGAAAGAAATTTTATTGGGAAATTCCATTGAAAAAATTAAAGAAATAATGGATTATTTAAACTAGTTTCAGTGTTTGCTGGAGTTAAAGTACAGAATTATATCAAAAGTATTAAGAAAAAATGTTGAATTAAAATATTTCACAACGAAAAAACACGCCTAAAAATTCATATAACTGTAGTAGTGTGATATATTTTTTTTGTTCTACTCACATTCCAATGAAAAGAACATAACGACAAAAAAACTCACTCAATTTTTCAGAGTTGCCATAACTAAGGGTGAATTTCTGAGTATTTGGCTGTTTTGAGTAATTTTTTGTTTACATTTTGTAAAACACAGCCTATTAATGTTAAAAATATTTCTTTTCTTAATATATATTTAACATATTAATAACAAATTTATTATTTCTTTTTATCTATTTCTTTACAGTTTCTTTTGAGTTTTTCCTTTGTGTAGATTTTTTATACTTCATCGGACGAGTCTTGGTTAGATTTCCCTTTCCTTCTGTTTTATTGATAAAAACAAGGAAAAAAATATTTTATCTACACTTTTTCTTGATAAACAATGAACTCTGGTGGACCAAACTATCAAATGGCTTCGCTATACGTTGGAGATTTGCATCAGGATATTAATGAAGCTGGACTTTTTGAGAAATTCTCTGATGCTGGTCCAGTACTATCCATTCGAGTATGTCGCGACATTATTACTCGTCGCTCACTAGGCTATGCCTATGTTAACTTTCAACAACCAGCTGATGGTAAGTTTTATTTTTTAATTTTTAAAAAATTTCAATATATTTTGTATAGAAATTGAAGAATTTTTTGAGTAATTTGTGTATTTGTTTATTTTTTGTAAACGTTGCAGTTTTTTTTAATATTGCCAACGTATTGTATTTACTATAGTACATAGTATAGAGTAAATTGTGTGAGGGGAAAACCATTTATTTAATTTGAAAAGTATGACTAATTTTTTTGCTGGAAATATTTTAACAAAGGGAACCTTTTTTATAGAAATTTTTTTATGGTTAAAGTGTTTTAATTAAAATATGTACAAAGCCTTCAATTTATTTATTTAATTGCATTTGCAATGCATTCAATCCACAAATTATAATGAGGTGTCTTGGAATTTTTATAAAGTTTTGTTACCTACATGTTATTTGGCTGTCTGCATTTGCATTTTAAGTGGTTATAGAAGTACCTACAACATTAAAACAACTACTTTTTAGATTTTTAAATATTATTGTATAAGAAATCTAAACAGAATTAGAAACTGGAATAAAAACTTTACATTTGTAGAAATTCGATTCCCCTGAAATAACTATAGACAAGGCCACAGCTTGTCTAAAGTTCTGAACCCTTTCTGTTTTTCTACAGTAAAAACCTTTAATCGAGTAGCGGTATTACCCCTTCAATAGTTCTTGGTACTTATTATTAGTCTTCTGGTCCTTTGTTCCAACATGTCATAACTATATCTTCTATTCCATTCTGGAACATTTCTCTTTTTGCACAGAGAGAAATAATATGATTAATTTTCTGGCACCTCTTTGACTTCAAACATCCCACAAATATCTCTTATCGATCACTTGTAACTGCATCACCTCTACAAATGTTTTTGGGACTTATTTTTAGTCTTCTAATCCGTTTATGTAGTGTTCCAGAATCGAATCGAATTGCATTAAAACTTTAAAATGGGGATTTACTTAACTTGCTTATCAGTTTGTGAACTCATAGCGCTAATTATTATTACATTTAAACTTATTTAAAATAAAGTAAAAATCTAGAGTTTGGATTTTTGATAAAAAAAAGTTAGTTTAAAACCCCAGCAACAACAACAAAGCTTAAAACCGAATATTGGCGGTTAATCTTCATTACTTTATGAAATCTGCAATCGATTTGAAAGAAACCCGGCTGGATGTTTCTTCTTGTCAGTACAATACTTTAAATTCCTAAAAATAAGATTCTCCAGCACAGGCATGTATTATACCATAATTTTGAACATAGTTTCAATTCAAATTACGCAGTTTATTTTTCAAACCATTTTCAGTTTTTAAAATATTTTTTCAACGTAAATTTTTTCTCTAAAAGTCTATATAAAATAAAAAAAAATGATAATGCAAACACAAACCCCATTTAGTTTCAATACCCTCTTAAAGAAAATAAACTGGATTTTGTTGTAGTTCTTATAATAATGACAAAATATTTGTATCTACTCATTATTTCCGTTTATTTTTTATTGTTAAACTCTAGACATCAAATCCAAATCTTTTGTCGTCTAGTAACAATATTTTCTTTCTTTAAAAAAAAAAAAATGAGGGAAAAAAGAAACACATGTTTTTTGTTTTGATAGTTCTTAAGAGGAAAGGAATACAGAGAGAAACACAGCACATGAGGAGAAAATATACATACCATATTCATGTATTTTATGTACTCTTTTCTCTAATCAAATCGTATTATATTGAGTATACAAAGTACATATATTTTACATTAAGGTGGTTGTGTTTGTTATATGTATGAATATTTCTTCTATATTTTGTAGCATAAAGAGTAAAGTTACGTTTTAATGTATCTACAGGGTAGAGGGTTTATTTCCAGCATTTCTTTATATTTGATTTGTACTTATGTAGCTGCTGATAGACAAAATGCTGTGTATTTGATTATTTTAGGTTAATTGTGTGTGTGTGTGTATTTTTTATTTAATTTTTTGCACACGTTTTTATTTCCTAACACATTTTATACATACATGTCTATTTTTGATTATTTTATGTTTCGGTTTTTTCTCTACAAATTGAAATTTATTTTAAACTGGTTTCACTTTTAAAACTAAATTAATACAAACGTGGCATATGCATTCATTCATTCATATAATTATTTCTTATACCAGTTTCTTCTTGTATTTATTTACTTGTACCTACTCCATACAATTTCTTTTATTATTTTAATAGAATACATTTTTTAGTAACACCATTTTTAACAAATACAATACTACTAATAATAATATGTATAACGACAGATACAGATAATTTTTATTATGAATTCATTACAAGTTTCCAAGGCCATTTCAAATGCTTTTAATAGTGTTGAGTTTCAATTTTTTTTACTACAATATTTCTTTGTTAATTAAAAAAATGAAATAACTGCGCATTTTTAAAACACTTTTGTTTGTTTATTTTATCTGTTTTTTTATTTTGTTATTTTTATTGGTTTTATAACTTTCACCTTTTTTTTCCTCTTATTTTTATTTATTTTTTCGGGAGGTCATTGCCTTTCTTTGGAATGCTAAAATGTTTATTTATTCATGTAATATGAAAGTGAATGTACGTACGTACATACTACTCTTCTGTTTCTTAATTTTTTTTTATTTTTTAGCTGAGTGTGAGAAAGTTTTAATTTTATAATCAATTTTCTTTATTGCCACTTGTACACATTCCAACACGTGCATCTTTTTTAGTTAATCGTGTTAAATTTATAAAATGGTTCAACCTTTTGCTCATAAACAAAAAAACTAAATATAATTGGAAGGTTACTTAAACCCTTTTAGATCATTTAGCATAGTAACAGCTAGATAGATAGAAATATATAAAGAATATTTAATATGCAACTTCTACCCATTGATTGGTTAGATTTTATTCCATTTTTAACCGATTAAGATTCATAGTTGCTAGATCAATCATCAGCTTGACTTACCATGTCATTATTTCGTATTTCTTGAAAATGACAGAAGTAGAAAAGTTACAAATTGAATAAACGAAAAGTATTTAAACTGCTGTTATAGTTCTAATGTTGTCAAAGGGCTTTTTACTTAGGAAAACTCAAAGTAAATTAATAAAGTAGCATCACTTGAACAGCTGACTATTTTTTTTAAACTAGATAAATAAAGCAAATTGTCAAAGTTTGTTTTGAAAATTGTTAACATTGTTTACGTCGCCATTTTTAAATTGTGTTTTGCTATTTGTTAAAATTTGTGAAAAGTTGAAAAAGTGAATTAAAAGTGGTTTTAAAGTAGTTTAAAAGTGTAATAAATTGTATAATATATAATAATATAATTAAATCGTTAATATTTTTAACTTAAAAGTAATATTTTTTATTTATGTTTTGTTCACATTGTTGTTCAAGGAAATTTTATTTTGACACAATCTTAAATTATTCCAAAAACAAAATACATGTGGTTGTTGTAGATGTTATTGTACAACAAGAGATGTCGCTACTTTATTAATATACTTTGGGAAAACTAACATTTTCAGCTTTATTTGCAACTTCTACCCATTGATTGGTTAGATTTTATTTCATTTTTAACCGATTAAGATTCATAGTTGCTAGATTAACCATCAGCTTGACTTACCATGTCATTATTTCGTATCTCTTGAAAATGACAGAAGTAGAAAAGTTACAAATTGAATAAACAAAAAGTATTTAAACTGCTATTATAGTTCAAATGTTGTCAAGTGCTTTTTACTTAGGAAAATAACCTTTTCAGCGAGTATTTTGTCTTTATTTGCAACTTCTACCCATTGATTGGTTAGATTTTATTCCATTTTTAACCGATTAAGATTCATAGTTGCTAGATAAATCTTTAGCTTGACTTACCATGTCATTATTTCGTATTTCCTGAGAATGGCAGAAGTAGAAAAGTTACAATATTATAACCCAAAAAGTTTTAAAATTGTTGTAATAATTTTAATGATGTCGAGAGATTTTTACTTAGGAGAAATAAACTTTGTCACTCTAGATTGATAGTCCTTTTTGTGTCGTACATATTTTTATGGTTGATGTCTTTATTTGCAACTTCTACCCATTGATTTGTTAGATTTTATTCCATTTTTAACTGATTAAGATTCATAGTTGCTAGATCAATCATCAGCTTGACTTACCATGTCATTATTTCGTATTTCTTGAAAATGACAGAAGTAGAAAAGTTACAAATTAAATAAACAAAAAGTATTTAAACTGCTATTATAGTTCAAATGTTGTCAAGTGCTTTTTACTTAGGAAAATAACCTTTTCAGCGAGTATTTTGTCTTTATTTGCAACTTCTACCCATTGATTGGTTAGATTTTATTCCATTTTTAACCGATTAAGATTCATAGTTGCTAGATAAATCTTTAGCTTGACTTACCATGTCATTATTTCGTATTTCCTGAGAATGGCAGAAGTAGAAAAGTTACAAATTTATGTTTTAAAAGATTTCAATGAATTAGTTGTTGTAACAGTTGCTTTACTTATGATAAAGGGACTTTCAATGATCCACTTGCTAGGTTTTTATATTTGATGCCTTTATATGCAACTTCTACCCATTGATTGGTTAGATTTTATTCCATTTTTAACCGATTAAAATTCATAGTTGCTAGAAAAATCTTCAACTTGACTTACCATGTCATTATTTCGTATTTCCTGAAAATGGCAGAAGTAGAAAAGTTACAATATTATTAGAACCCAAAAATTTTTAAATTGTAATAGTTTCAATGTTGTCGAGAGTTTTATTACTTAGGAAGAATAAACTTGTACATGTTTTTATGGTTGATGTCTTTATTTGCAACTTCTACCCATTGATTGGTTAGATTTTATTCCATTTTTAACCGATTAAGATTCATAGTTGCTAGAAAAATCATTAGCTTGACTTACCATGTCATTATTTCGTATTTCCTGAAAATGGCAGAAGTAGAAAAGTTACATTCATATTAAAAAAGTTCTGTAGATTGTAACATTTTAGTGTAAAGGACTTGTATCTATTTGCAACTTCTACCCATTGATTGGTTAGATTTTATTCCATTTTTAACCGATTAAGATTCATAGTTGCTAGAAAAATCATTAGCTTGACTTACCATGTCATTATTTAAAATTTTCTAAAAATGACAGAAGTAGAAAAGTTACAAATAACAACTTTAACTACTAAACACTTTATACGCTGTACCTATGTACATATGTAGGTTTTGTTTAATTTATTACTTCACATATTTTCTCAACACCAATTGCATTTTAATTAATTGTGTAACATTTTTACTTTTAGCTGAACGTGCTTTGGATACAATGAATTTTGATTTAATCGGTGATAAGCCTATTCGCATTATGTGGTCTCAACGTGATCCCTCATTGCGTCGTTCCGGCATTGGCAATGTTTTCATCAAAAACTTGGACAAGAGCATTGACAATAAGGCTATATATGATACTTTCTCGGCTTTCGGTAATATTTTAAGTTGTAAAGTAGCTACCGATGATAAGGGTCAATCCAAGGGTTACGGATTCGTACATTTCGAAACTGAAGAGGCCGCCAATAAAGCCATTGCCAAAGTTAACGGTATGTTGTTGAACGGTAAGAAGGTTTACGTTGGCAAATTCATTCCACGTAAGGAACGCGAGAAGGAACTCGGCGAAAAGGCTAAATTGTTCACTAACGTCTATGTCAAGAACTTCCCCGACGACGTTAATGATGAAAAATTGAAGGAAATGTTTGAGCCATACGGCAAAATTACCAGCTACAAGGTCATGACCAAGGATGATGGTAAGAGCAAATGTTTCGGTTTCGTTGCTTTCGAGACCACTGAGGCCGCTGAGGCTGCCGTCGAAGCCCTTAACGGCAAAGACATGGGTGAGGGTAAGACCTTGTATGTTGCTCGTGCCCAGAAGAAGGCCGAACGTCAACAGGAACTCAAACGCAAATTCGAAGAATTGAAAAAGAAACGCCAAGATTCCGTCTATGGTGTCAATTTGTACGTCAAGAATTTGGATGACACCATCGATGATGAGCGCTTGCGCAAGGAATTCTCCTTGTATGGTACTATTACCTCCGCTAAGGTGATGACTGATGAAGAAGGCCGCTCCAAGGGCTTCGGTTTCGTCTGCTTCGTCGCTCCCAATGAAGCTACTTGCGCTGTCACTGAATTGAATGGCCGTGTTATGGGCTCCAAGCCTTTGTATGTTGCCTTGGCCCAACGTAAGGAAGTACGTAAGGCTCATCTTGCTTCTCAATACATGCGTCACATGGGTGGTATGCGTATGCAACAATTGGGTCAAATATTCCAACACAATGCTGCTGGTGGTTTCTTCGTACCCACCATGGGTCCCGGTCAACGTTTCTTGGGTCCTCAAGTGCCTACACAAATGCGTAACACACCACGCTGGGCTACTCATGTGCCTCGTCCAGCACAAGCTGGTGCCGCTCCCGCAGCTGGAGGCTTCCAAAATGCCGCCATGGCTCCTGCTGGTACTGCTCAGTACCGCCCACAAGCTGCCGGTGGTGCTCGTGGTCAACCACAAGCTGTTCAAGGCGCTCATGCTGCCGCTGCCAACACCATGCGCAACAGCGGTGCTCGTGCTATTACTGGACAACAATCTATTCCAGCTCCTAACATTGCTTTGGCTGGTCCTCCTTTGCCAGCTGGTGCTGCTCAACAACGTGCCGCCAACTACAAATACAACACCAATGTACGCAACCCAACAGTGCAACAGGTTCCAGCACCCCAACCTGTCCCACAAATGCACCAAAAGGGTAAGTGTTCTTATCTCATTTTTCTCATCAAAAGAATGTTGCAATTTATATTTACTTGATATATTGTTTACTTTCATTTTAGGAACCGAGAAGCTTTTGGCTTCTTTGTTGGCAAATGCTACTCCCCAAGAGCAAAAACAAATTTTGGGCGAACGTTTGTATCCAATGATCGAACGTATGCATCCATCTTTGGCCGGTAAGATCACTGGTATGTTGCTGGAAATCGAAAACTCCGAACTCTTGCACATGATTGAAGATCACGAAGCCCTTAAAGCCAAGGTTGAAGAAGCCGTTGCTGTCTTGCAAGTTCACAACGTTCGTGAAACTGTGCCTACCAATTAAACAAAGGAAAAGCTTGAAAGAAACCAAAAAAATATAAAATTTTAAAAAAGAACAACTACAGCCAACATAATTAAACAAAAAGTTTAGTAGCAAAACACTAACTAACAGCAAACAAAAACACTTTTTAAAGCTACAAAGCTCAGCAAATTTCAAACATATTTTTTGCATTATTTGTATTTTCATTTCAATCATTTGCCATCTTAAAATCTACTTTCTGTTTTTATTTTTTTTTTTACAGTTTAACATTCAATTTATTCAAATGTCCCCATAAAGCAAGTCTCACAAGAAAAACAAATTGGTTACGCTCAGCCTTTCAAAGGAATTTTCAAGTTCTGGCTGTTGCAGTACACTTTAATGAATTCCCACTCTCTTCCTTCTCCTATACATGAACTATTTTGAAATTTAATTATGTTTTTCATGTTATTGAATAAATTTTAATTTGTCGTCCTCAATATTAACAACTTGCTGCTGAGTTTTAACAAAAAGAAAACTTCTGTTTACTTTGTTTTTATCCTTTCAACACCATAAATGAAAAGAATTTTTTAAATTAAAAAATATGAAAAAATCAACAAAAAAATCGAAAAAATAAAAACTTTAAAAAATTGAAAACAAAATATGAAAATGCATAAAAAATATTAAAAAAAAGAACAAAATATAACAACAACAAAGAAGAAAAATTAAAACACGATTGTTTGCTACTTGAAACAAAAAATTTATTAAAAGAAAGAAAAAAAAACATAAAAAACCCTTACAAAAAAATCGTAAAATTTTAATAAAAAATTTAAATAAAAAGTAACAACCTCAGAAGGTTAAAAATATATATATAAAAATCACAAAAAAATTTAAAAACATTTTTTGAAAAATCCAAATAAAAATCAGCAAAAAACTTGCAAAATTCAAAAAAAAAAAAGTTAAAAAGAAACAAAACGAACACCTTTTTGAAAAAGAATGAAAAAATACAAAAATGTAGCTGCTTTTTTTAAAACACCACTACAGAACACAACCATCCAAAATTTCTTCTTTTAGTTTTTTGTTTTGTTTTACTTTTTTCTTTTCCAAATGTTAAAGTTTTTCCAACACCTTGAAAATGTTCTTTCTGCTCTCTACACTACCAATAACTACTGGTTTGTGTTGGCTGAGGAGCATTTCTGCAAAATAATTACTTGTATTTTATTTTTTCTAAAAATATTACAACAACAAAATACAACAATAACCAAGAAACGAATTGGAATTTTATGTTTGTACTATAACATAATCTACATAGGATACAGCATTACAACAATATTATTATTATTATAATTACTCCTTGATGAATTACATACATTTTTTATTTTATTTATAATATTTTTGTAGTATTTTTCTTTTAAATTACTTTTCTTTTTTTGTATTACAATATACACAACATATACATAACGCTATAACAAAAACAAAAAATATCTGAAATATTTATAAATTCTATTATATTATAAATGCATTGAAATCCCATTGAAGACACACATTTTTTAATAAAAAACAAAAATAATAAAACAAACAACAAAAATAAAAATATATATAAAATTCCACTTCGGCAGAAAAAATATTGATGTTTTTATTTATATTTTAAGGAATATGAAGGCGTTAAGTTTCTTATATAAAAATACGAACTTAGAATTTTAATACATTGTCATTAGGGGTTTTTATGCGAAATATTTCGGAATATTCTCTGGTTTAAAATTCAGATATTTCTAGAAAATGGTTTTCTTCTGGCAGATCCTTATATCCGGGTTTTCCGATTAGGTTCCAGAGCTTCCATACTATTAGGATAGTGTGGATGCTGAAGCTAATCAACTGATGCGTAGACAATAGATTCTCATTTTAAAACGTTTAAATGCAACGTTAATTTCGGAACCCAGTTATCGAGCAAAAATGAAGTGCGTGAAACACTTGTACATAAATTTAAATTTCTTGTTTAAATTTTCAAAAGATCGCAGATATTTCAGAACTGTCTATTTATAACCAACAATTTGGTCCATAGTAATCAAGGGTAGGAATATGATTAAAATTTTGAGAAAAAAAACTTGATTGTTCCTATATATTTTTGGAAATATTTCAGACAGTTTTATATTTTTAAAATATAAATCATCCAAAATCCCGATTTTCATCACTCGGATCCCGATATTGTTCATTATTCACCCCTATTCTGCATTTCAATTCGAATCGAAATTTTCTCCGTTGGCAAATTTATTATTCTGAATTTCGATTCGAAGCTAAGTCACTAAAATAACTTAGAAAAACATAGTTACGATCATAATACAGAATACACACAATTTTAAAGAAATGAAATAAAATGGAATTGCTTCTTCTATTTCTTACGATTCAGTTTTTTCTTGGAATACCAATTTTCGATAGTAATTCGTAATCGAAATGCAGAATATTTTAAAACTTTAAAAATTACTAAGGCGGCTTAAAATAGATTTTAATCCGACACCGACATTTTTAGTGTCAGCTACCAACGACGTTAATGTAAGTCGCCGCCGGTCTCTGTAACTCATTTGTTCGAAAATCATCTGTCGTCTTAAGTGATGTCAATTTTTTCTATTTATATACCCGCTACAAAATTTTTATAAAAAATTTCAAGTTTTGTTTTTATTCAACTATAGGTATAGGATTTCTATAAAAATTTGTAAAATATTACAAGGAAAAATACAAATATATAGTTTTTTAAGCCAAAATTTAACAAACTTCAACGATAAATTGCCTAAATTTCCGCTAATAACATACCCGCTAAATTTATAACAAAATCGCCGATTTAAAACAAAACATAATAAAATTGTCAACACAGTTTATCATCTATATTTATTACCTTTGCATAAATTTTCGTACAAATTTAGGTAAACCATTGAAAAAATCGAATACTTTTCCAGAACTCACTATATACTACGTCTTAATAATTCTATTCTAGACTTGTGTGGAATTTCATTTTATCAAAATGATTATCTCACGTTTCGCCCAATTAAAAGCTGCTGCAAATGCTACAAATTTTTCAACAATGAGACAACTAGGTGGTCGTACCATTAGCGAAATACAAAGACGTAATGCGACACATTTTCGTAGTGGTGCCTTGAAGCCTAAACCCGAGGAAATGCCCTTTGGCATGATGGGTGTAGTGTGTGCTGTTGTACCTGGTCTTTTTATTGGAGCAGCCATTAGTAAAAGTGTAGCAAATTTCCTAGAAGAAAATGATTTGTTTGTGCCCGAAGATGACGATGATGATGAAGATTAAATGACTAATATGGTTGTGGACGAGACCCATACACATCATATGCACAGCGTTAATTGTCAAGACAATAGCACAAAATTATTATTACTGGAGCACAACACTAGTCATATTGTTATATAGTGAATCTTAAGGCGAAGTTGTAAAGAAAAAAATCAAAAAATCATACAAGGTTATGTTGATGATGGTAATATTTTTTTTATAAATAGACTACTATTTAAAGTATTTAAACAATCCTTGACTAAATTTGAATTTTTTTAATAATATCCTAAAAATGCATATAAACAAATACCTATAATCTCAAACTTTGTTTTCTTATTTTGTTTTGTACTAAATAACTTCCGTCTCTTTCTAATTGAACAAACATTAGTACAAATGTTTGCATGTGTGTACATATGTTTGTGTAAATTTAGTAAACCGTTAAGTCTTTCTTTTATCCTTGTTCTTTCTCTCTTTTAAGCTTAATGTTTGTGAAAATAATTGCGAAATAATTGTATTTACTTTAAAGTGAATTAAAAAATATCAACGAAATAAATAGTTTATTGATTAATTGAAATAAAGTGAGTGTTTTTTTAATTATAAAAAAAAGAAAAAATACCTATAAAATAAAATTTGCAAAGTTTTTTTGGTGTTTTAGAGCAGTATTAAAAAGGTAAGCCGCCATTTTCCGGAATTTTTATATCTTTATAATTAAAAAACTACATAGGCTAAAAAACCAATTTTGATAGAATATTGAATTTCTAATTGCTACAAGCCCTATTCCTTTCGAATATCACATTAATTACAGTGATAGCTGATATTAGATTATCTGTACTGTTTTACATTCCGCTTGGAAAGGTTTCATGTCTGTAGTTATTAGATATTTGGTCGGACATGCTTAATTTTGTTTGTAATAATTGTTCGCTAGATCGCAATTGGTTATTTAAAACTGAGTCTCATAACTGAATATCGTAGCAGAGTTAGTTAATAAGTTTGATTTTTCTAATTAAAAAGGGTTTTAATTAAACAAAATCCACACACGCGATTGACACTGAAAATCTCTTATCTTAGTTGTCAGCACGCAATTGCCCGCAGCTACAATAAAAAGGATTCTCAGTGTATCCACCACACCACAATATATACCAATTCAGTTTAGTTGCAACGTTAGCCACAAAACATGTTAAAAACGCCTAGCTTTTGGGAAAAACATAAAGACAACATTTACATATTTGGTCATATTTATGCCACACTCTACGGTTTGGTGGTCATCAATTATATACCAAAAATATCTACCAAGTCCCTTAAACACTATGCTGCTGTAATTTATAGTCACATCGTAAGCATCTTTATAATTGTCATATTACCCATTTATTTTGCCTTCAACCTAAATAATTTAGTTGAGACCAAAGATCGTCGTTGGCAGCTGCAGTTGCTGGTTAATTTTTCCAATACTCTTATAAAATATTGTACAATTATTGTTACATATATAGCGAATTTTGTCCATTACAAAGCTATACGCTCCGTAACGAAACGCCGCCAACGCTTAGAGGATGATTTCAATAAACGCTATAATGGTGCGGAAATGCCGCGTAAACGTTTTGAATTTATGCTGCTCTTTAAATTTGGTCTAATTAACGCCATGATGGCGGTACAAATAGCTCAGATATTATATCAATATTATATGGGTTCACATCCAGTGCGTGTTTATTTCCAAATTTATACCTTTATACTGTGGAATTATACGGAAAATATGGCAGATTACTTTTATTTTATCAATTGTTCTGCCTTAAAATTTATACGCCAATTACAGCAGCAGGTACATGGCATTTTAAGAGAAAATAAATTGTATTATTATTTTAAATTGCGCGGACAACGTCGAGGAACTCTTAATCATTTGTGCGGTTTACTGAGTGATTGTTTGGAATTTCTTTCTTTGAAATATCTGGACATTTATCATTTATATGAGGACAGCGTTAAAATGCATCAGTTTCAAATGTTGGGCCTAATTTTAAACACCTTAATTAGTAACTTAACTAACTTGTTTACGTTATTTAATTTGCTGTTTAAGCACTCGTCTATGGCCGATAAAATACCCGATATTGTGTTAAACTTTGTATTCGCCATTATATTTTATATTGATACGTATATTGTAACGTTAATTAGTGATAGAATTATTGTGGAAATTAAGCGCACACAAGGTATAATGAGACAATTCTCGCAGTTACCCATGTTGGATAAACGATTAGATGAGACGGTATGTTAATTTTTTATTATTAAAAATTGCCAATAAACAGAAGAGTGAAAAATTTGTTTTCTTTAAAATTTTAAATCTTTATTACTTCTTTCCCTTTTCTTAAAATAGAGCGAAAAGTTTTCCTTATTATTACTGACATACGAAGGTCGTTTTCGTATTTGTGGTTTGTTTTATTTGGATCGCCATTTAACATATTTAACAGCAGCCACTGGTTTTTCTTATTTTATAACACTTGTACAATTCGATATAAATTGGAGTAATTTAAAATAAAGCCTTATAAACGTTTATTTATTATCATATTTTTTCATTTAAATTGGAACGTCCCATTCTTAAAAATTGCTGTCTTTCATTTTTCGTTCTAGCAGTTTATGCGTTTAAGACTAAATTATAAATAGTAGTAGTAGTAGTAACAATAAAAGCAATTTCTTTAAATGAATAACATACATATTTAACATAAATGTGGTTTTTAAGGAGTATTTAATAATAAACGAAAGGAACTTTATGTTTAATTGCAATTACAAAGTTATGGAAATATTGTGTGTAATTGCCACAACATGTACAACGTTGTTCTTTTATGGATCTGTTCTGTTTTGTTTATAAATAAAATAAATTACATTTTAACACATGACTAGAGCATATAAATTAAATAATATTTTTTGTTGTATATAAAAGAGAATGTTAAGAAAAATCCTTAATAAAAATGAGGTACAAAAAGGAAAAAAATCATAAAAATAAAATAAACTATAAACAAAGTTAAAGGGTTAAAATTAAAGTATTTTCTTTTAAGTTCATTAACTTTAACACTTTTTTTGTACGTTAAAAGCTTAAACTAGTTATAGCTATATATATATAACAAAAATGCCTGATATTTAACTAATTGTTGATTCATTGTTGAGTCTTTAAAAAATTGGCTACAATTAGGAATACAAATGCACTGGTTAAAAATATACTGCCTGGCAATGAACGTCTTAAGGGAAGATTGGGATCACGTTCACGTTGAGCAAATAAAGCCAAATCAGATTCAAAACTTTCATAATTATCCCAGTTTAAACATTTCCTTACAGCATATTCCCAACGTTTATAGAGCAGAGAACGTCCTAAAAAAGAAATAAATTGTTAATATTGTTAGGGTTAAAGTTTTTTGAACGAACTTACTATTTGGTGTGGTGGTAGGGCTAAAAACATCTGCTGGTGGCATATAGGCAATTTGAGCATAGGTTTCATTTATTACTTCCATAGTTATCCCTGCTGCTATTAAAGCTCCCAGACCACAAGGAGAGGCTGTTTGTGGTCTTTCCAATATTATACCTACAATATCAGCTATGTATTGCACTAATGTGGTGTTTTCTGCATAATCACCACCAAAGACCAAATGTTCTTTCATATTTGACCAATCCCACGTTTTGGTATCACGTTTAAAAGCTTCTAATACTTCGTGTATTTGAAAACCTGTTGCTTCATAAGCTGCCTGTGAAATATTTTCTGCAGTCGTTTGACTGGTTAAGCCTAAGATTATACTAGAAGAAAAAAATTAAAGGTTTTTTAAACAAAAAGTTATTTAAAGTTCTCAAAATTAGTGTTACTTTTTCAACTTACCCTCTAGCATCATAACGCCAATAGGGCGCATATAAACCATGAAAAGCAGGTACAAATGTAATTTCCGATCTTTTGGCCGCCACACCGCATTCCGCATTTAACATACTGGACGAACATGATGAAATCATCGATGTTTCACCCAAAAATGTATTTAATACTTCTACCACATTATCGTTAGAATTGATTTCTGTATTGATGCGTAAACCCTCTTTTAGCCAGTTGACCGTGGAACCAGCATTACTAATGGCGCCTTCTAAAGCAAAATTTGTTTTTGCCTTTGGACCCAACTTATACGAAATTATTGATAATAAACCATTATCAGATTCAACAAATTCTTGACCAGTATTAAGTAAAACAAAACAGTTATCATCTATGGAACACATATTTTGACCAGCTTTTAGGGAAAGTTGTCCCAACAAAGCAGACGGTTGATCTCCTATAACCTATATAAAAAGAAAATATTTTTTTTGGTTTATAAAAGGAATGTTTAAAAAAACTTACACTGGCTATGGGTATGTTGTTTAAAGGTCCCTCAATAATATAACCATATATTTCGGAATTGGTACGTATTCTAGGCAGTATATTCATGGGTATTTTATAAAATTTGCACACATTTTTATCCCATTGCATGGTATTCACATTCATTAAGCCGCTGTATTGGGCATTTGTTATATCCGTAGCATGAACACCACAGATCTCTGATCCGGTAAATTTCTGTAATATTAAAAGAAGTAAGAAGACAGTTAATAACTTGCGTCAGCTTTTTGGTTACCATATGTAAAGAGTAATCTGAATATCTTATTGATAGTATTTTTGAATGCCTGTGTAAATTTAGATGCCATCTTTCCTAAAGTGAAGAGCACTGTCATAGTATGTTTTAATATTAAACCCGGATCGATATTGAATCAATAATCAGTATGATATATCTCCTGAACTCTACCTAAAATTATAGTATAACAAACAATATAATTCCATACATACCCACAACAACCACGAGTCAATAGTACCAAAACACAATGTATCCCTTTCCAAAGATTCCTGCACCGCAGCATTATTCTCCATTAACCATTTTATTTTTAAAGCACTAAAACACGTGCTCAAAGGTAACCCAGTTACAGATCTTAAATAATTTACATTACGTTTGTAATTATTAAGCAATGTTTTCAATAAAGAGGTACAACGACTGTCCGTCCAACCTTTAGATCACAGAGAAAAACATGTAAACTAATGATAAGAATTAATGTAAAATACAAATAAATACCCACCAATAGCATTGTGTAAAGCAGAACCTGTATCTCGATCCCATAAGACAGTGGTGCCTCTCATATTACAAATACCTACAGCGATGATGTCATGAGGGCTAATTTCTAATATTACGAGATTTTTATAAGCCGTCTGAAAAAATAGCATAAACAATATTAATGTTACACTAAAATGATATAAACAATTGCTACTACATACCTCTATACACTCCACTGTGTATTTCCATATCTCATTGGGATCATATTCACACCAGCCGGCATTATGAACAATTTGTTTCAATTTCAATTCATGCGATGTCAAAACTTCAGCATTTTTGGTCGAATAAATCTAAAAGTTATAAAATATAAGTATGTTGTGCTTACCATTCCAACTCTCCTTCTTCCATTCTCTACTATATACAAATACTTACCATAAATTTACAGTGCGTATTGCTAACATGGATGACACCAATTAAGGGCCCAAAATTTCCGTAATCAGACATTTTAGGCCTTTCGTTTATTAATTCCTGTTAATAGAGAAATGCTGTTTTTCCCAAATGTTTATAAAGTCAGCTTAATTTTACACAGTTAAAGAATTGCAAAAATTTTTTGTTTCATTGATTCTTTTTTTCTGCATCGATTGCGTAAAAGTTGAAGAGTCTTTTTTCAGCTACTTTCTGTTTAGTGTGCGCGTTTTTTGCGTTTGTGTTTTATTCTATTTGTTTTAATATTGGTGTTGTTGTTGCTGTTATTATTTTGTTTTGAGCAGCTGTTTGACACTTTTTTTATGGAGAAAAGTGTTGCCAAGATCTAGTTTTTCAATTGTTTACGAATATTTGTAAAAACAAAGTGTCAAATTTGAACATTGTTTAGAAGGGAAATAAGAGAGAATAGAAATTAGCGGAAATTAAATGTTTGAGTTTTTATTTTGCAGTTCGATAAAGAATAATTGCATTCGAAAATGTCAGTTATTTCCACTAACGTCTAACCAACTGCTTGGTTGGCTTTAATTAGGCTTTCGTCACAAATAATTCATAATAAAACACCATTTTCATTTGTCTTCTTAAATAGTTATTTATTCTTCTTTTATTTTTGGTGAAAACATACAATTATTATAAATATATCTTAAATACAAGCATTAAATTTTCTTTTTTTTTAAATTGTGATTTAAATTTATACTAAAACATTAAAATTATTTAATATTTTTTTCTTTTAAATTTGAAATATAGTTTTTTTTTCTTAATTTAAGCTAAAACTTAAAAATAAAAATGAAATAAATTAAAAATGTTTAGGTTGAAAAAATTTTAAATAATTTAAAGATGATTTCATTATGGCAGCAAGTTAATTTTAGGATGTTTTTTATAATAAAACAAAATATTTTTTATTATACATACTAGTATTTATTTCCTTCCATCCAATAAGTATGGTTTAAAACAATTTAAAATCACAGCAAAATAAAATATATAGAAAACTCAAATAATATTACAAATACATAAAATTAATTAAAAATAATAAATAACAATATTAAATTTAAGTACACACTTATACACACAATATAAACTTTAATTTAATGATAATACAAATTAACATTATTAAATGTACTACAATGAAATTGATTTTTCTTTTAACTATAACATACACTCGCAATTAGTTTTGTTTTAATTTTAGTTTTTTTAACAAAGTTCATACTTAAGTTTACTAAACAATTTTGAAACTTTTGTTTATAAAATAATGAAAAACAGTTAATATGAATTATTATGTTAAGGTAAAACGTTAGGCGATGTTAGGTTTATGTTTAGAACAAATTTTCTAATTGACAATAATATAGTTTTTGTTTAAATTTCATTGGTATGATACTGTTAAACACTTAAAAAAAATCAGACTTCAAAATACTTTAAAAAGGCAGAAGGGCAAAGTGGGGATAGCAATTTATATTTATGCTTTATATTTAATTCATTAAAATGATATGTTATAAATTAAATCCAAGTTATGTTTACGTAAACTTCCAAATATAGTTTACATGTTGAAGAATAAATCAGAAGTAATTGATATTTCTTATTATTACAGTTATCCAATATGTACCTTCACTATAGAACTATCTCATACTGATAGCTTTAACAACTTGATTTACTTTCACCAGAAAGCATATGAACAAAACTGTTGTAACAATATAAAATAGAGATATATTTTTCGTGTTATAAAATGAGATCAATATTTGAACCCAAATGACGCTATAGAATATCCTAACAATATAAAATTTCTTTGCCTAAAGACCTGCCATTGGTAGAAGAATTACTAAGCCCCCGCTTCATTTAAATAACTTTTCCCTTGAAATTTTTTCAAAATTATTTCATAAACGAGGAATTGTATAGATTTTAAAACGCTCGAATTTTAGGAGAAAATATATTTTTCGGAAATAGGGTTTATCAGCAAAACAATCAGTGATTCCACAAGAAATTTAGTTTTTCACTAGAAATCTATTTTTCATAAAAAATAAACTTGTTTTTTTTCAGAAAACAAAATTAAATTTTCTTTAAAATATGTGTTTCTACATGCAAAATGAATTTGAGTCTTTAGCTCAAAATATATTATAGGATTTGAATGCTCCAAAATAAGACTTAGTTTTCTTAGTGTTTTTTTCATGTGGAAGACAGAATGCATTGTATTTTGAAATACAGGATAAGGGTTAAAATAGATCTAACTGTACTTATGAAATTATTTAAAGCTAAACATTATTAACAAATAATAAAAAATAATAAAATAGATAAATTAAGATAATCCACTAACATTTACCAATTATCTCTCGCTACATTCTCTGGGAATATGCCATAACTGAAAAACAATTTAACAAAAGTTTATTGAAGCAATTTATAGGATAACTTCCCCTTATTAACCTTAAGTAGATAAATTATTCAGTTTGCATAACATTTAACTTATACTTAAATAATAAATAAGTTTCATCATATAACTATGCATGTAGAGTGTATAAGTTGCATTTGTTTTTTTTTATAAATACTCGTAAGTGTAGGAATTCCTTTCTCTTGTGACTTATAACATAATTAATGTTTAGACAAATGTTATGAGGTTATTATAATTATAAATATTAAAATGTTTTGGTGATAAAAAAGTATTTATAAAGTTAAAAAACAAAATACACATGAATTACAAAAGATATAATAAATAGTAAGAAGATCAGAGAGAGAGAGAGAGATATGATACGTAACATTAATTAGGTAGTTTTTATAAAGTAAAATTTATTTTCCAAAAAAGAAATGCTTCCATGTTGTTGATAATTATTGCTGTAAACAAACAGGTTAAAGAATTAAATTTGTTTTTAATTAGTATATATTTTTTACACTTAATTTACAAGCATTTTTAATCAAAATCTAATGAATGAACCAACATGAAATAGTTAATCAATTTACTTTCATTATAAATACTATAATTCTTTTTAAAATAAACATCTAGATAAGTGAAAAATAAATTAAACAAGGAAATGAGTCAAACAAAATAAACAACGTAAAAACATAAACAAAATACCATACTAAATAAAAGTACATACATACATATTTATAAAATATTTACAATAATTTATAAAACAGAAATGTTAATATACTTTCAGCTGTTGGAATTAGCTATAATCTCTAAAACTTTCATTCAATAACTTACTTTTTTTATCCATGTATCCTAAAAAAGAAAAATTCATCTTTTTCCTTTTTTACTGTATTTTCTTAATTTCCTGGGGATTGTCTTTAAAATTTTCCATTTTTATTTGAATTGCGATTTACATCCGCTTGCTGTTGCTGCTGCTGTTGTTGTTGTTCTTGTTCACCAGGTCATAAGTCCGGAAAACGACTAGAATCTTCGACATAATGTTTGGGTATTTCGAAGAGCGACGGTGAAATATTGTCGCGAAATTCAAATTTTTGAAATGTTATCTTAGCGGTAACGGTGTGTAAAACCGGAATTTCAACTTTGACCGGAAAACCAGGGGGCAGTTTTAGAGCAACAAATTCACGTAATTTACTGATGTGTTTAAAGGGTCCTATGACTTCCAAAATATTCAGCAACATGTCAACACTGAGAGGAAATTCTTTACTCATGGCAACGGTGGCTTTTAAAGATTTGTTCGATTGTTTATGGACGGGTGTACGGCCCAGTGGGGGACATTTACCAGTCTCCGCATTAATGTATTGTTCCCAAGTAATGGAGGGTTTTGGTGGCGGAGGAAGAGAAGAACGTCTAGTTATTTCTATAGAAACATTTGTTGAGCCAGCATCTGTGGAGTTACTGTTGCTGTTGGTGAGGCTAGAGCGGCGGCCTTGTGACATGGTTGCCAACATGGCCTTATTCTTTTGTATGTCGTCTTGGGACAAATGTTCCCGTCGTTTCCGTTGCTTTAGTACCAATCCATGTATAGCATACAGTTCGGATTGATATTGACCGCCCACCACTTCCTTGCGATCCTCACGAAATATCCAACCTGACTGGGCACGAGCAAATTGTATACTTTTAGTCGACATATGGGCTGCTAAAATATCGCTCGACATCAATATGTCCACCTCATCATCAATATCCGAGTCTTCATAGTGTATGTGTTTATAACATTGATACTCATTATCTAGCACAGTAATGGAATGATGCATGGGTTGATCGCCGCGAAATATAAATGAGGTATCACCCCTTTCCCAACGCATATCGTTAAAATCTACTAAGGTGGTATCCAAGCGTAGGGATGAGCCACATTTGTGTATACGGCAAACATCGGAGGGTAACATACGTGAGACTAGAGGCACCCAAGAAGTAAAATCCCATTTTAATTCCATATAGAAATCTTGTATCTGTTTGAGGCCCTTAATCATGGCGGATCTTCTGGATTCTAAATGTGCCCGCGATTGCTGGCGTAATTTCTTGAGCAATGATGAAATGGTATCGCGATCGCCATATGAAATGGCTTCCGCCAATACCGTCCAGCCTTCATTGTTTTTAATTTTTACAATGGCATTATGGGCCAAAAGTAAATCTATACACTCTTTGCGTCCCAACATTACAGCCAAGTGTAGCGGTGTATTACCATGTTTGTCTTTTTGTGATAGATTCTCTGTCTTCTTTTCCAACAAACCCTTTAATGCTTCACGGTCATTGAGAAATATACACTTGTGCAATGGCAACTCTTGTCCACCACACAGGTCTTTCTTTGTTAATGAGCCATAATTTGATTTGGTCGGAGTAGTTGGAGCTGAATGAAACTGATCTTCAGTCTCGTCATCGTCGTCTTCCTCCTGCTCCTGTATATAGGGAGAATTTAAAATTTTATCATTTTTTTCACAGTAATTTTCTGTTGTGGTCGTCTTTTGGTTGTTGTCTGCCACTACAACTGAATTTTCCTTTATACCGCCCCCAGATTTTTTCGGTATCGTACCGTTTGTAGTTTTCGTTTTTTTACTTTCTTTCACTTTAGACATTTTCATTGTGTTTAATTAATATACTGTTAAAATTTTTAGACAATAGATTATTTCACATTTAGTCGATTATTAACTTGTTTTAAACAAAAAATCATTTGCACTTTTATTCAATAGAAAAGTAAAAAAATTATTGAATTTTCACACAAAACATTGAAGCGGACAAATATTAATGTCGGCGTTGGCTGACACAAAAACATTTCGGCTGCGGCTTAAAATCGAATGTGATTGCTTGTATTTTAATAATTTTTTTTTAATTAAAAAAAATATATTATTAATATTCAAGACAAAATCGGATTTAAATTTCTAACCGATCTAACATAAGTATTTCAATTAAATATATTGTTTTCTTGGCATACATAATCAAACTTCATATAAAAAAATTGAGAATCGTGCGAGTGCTGGTACCTTGTTAAGTATGCCATGGTTTAGCATAATTTTTTTCTCGTTGCTGTCATTATTTTTGACAATAACAAAAAGTAATTTTTCTCTCTTTATCGTCTTCATTTCTTATTGCACTTTTAATCGTTAAAAAAATAATAATTGTACATTTGTCGAAAAAACAAGTGGTCATTTTGCAAAATAATTAATTTAATTTGTGACAATTTTTTTCAACGTTTTGCAAATTGTAATCTTATAATGTTTTGCATTTGCGAACATAGAAAAACAAAAAAGTTTTTCCAATGCATGAAAATAAAAGAGAAAAAGTGAAGAACGAAAAAATTAATATAATTAAAAACGTCATAGTATAAAAAAATATAACAATTTTGCAATAATAATAAGTGGAGCTCTGTTTGGGTCTATATAAAAGACCTATTTATTGATAGATAAGCTGGAAAAGAGAATTCGTATATACGAGGTAAATTATATTCAAGGCACTACGGTTTAAGTTGAATGGCCTGCTGCCGTTTGCTTTATGTGTAAAATGAACAAATTTAAAAAATCTTTATTTTTTATTACGGCAGTTTGGTAAAAATGATAAATCCCAAGCATTACAATTCGAAACGTATCAATATCAGCCACCTTCTTAATGATCGTATGTTATATAGCAATTTTGGACATCAGGTCAGGAGGCATTTACAGGCAGCACCACCCTTTATACATCGCCTGGAACAGGATGGTATCTTAAAAGGCCATGAGGGCTGTGTTAATTGCTTGGACTGGAGTAGTGATGGTCGTATATTGGCCTCAGGTTCAGATGATTTGCAATTGTGTTTGTGGGATCCATTTCGTAAAAAGCGCATACAGAGTATCAACACCAAACATTATGGCAATATATTTTCTGTTAAATTTTTACCCAAACACAATGATAGCCTCATTGCTACCGCGGCAGCAGATAAAACAATAATGCTGTTTGATATCAATCAACCATCAGAATCGATATATTCGTGCCAATGTCATTTTTCTAGGGTAAAGCGTTTAGCCACTGCACCGGATTCACCCTTTATATTTTGGTAAATACCAACACTTTTCTTTCAAACTTATGTAAACTGTTCAAAAATTGATTTAAACTTTTTAGGTCAGCCGGTGAAGATGGCACCGTCATGCAGTTGGATCATCGTGAGAAACATACATGCCGTTCGTTTGAAAATCAAGTGTGCCTTATTTATCTCAGATCTGAAATCGATGAAAATGCCGAAGCCAAGTGTATAGCAGTAAATCCTGTACGCACAGAGTATATCGCAGTGGGAGCGAATGATCCCTATGCTCGTGTCTATGATAGACGCATGTTGAAGAAAGTTGCTTCGGGTTACCGCAACGTTGAACGTAGACGTGGTTAGTATTTTCTTTTTTAAAATAGGTATAGAAAGAAATTCAAATGAATTCAATAAATATTCTTATGTTTTCAGACACTACTGAAACGTCTGCCATACCTAAAGAATGTGTTACCTATTTTTGTCCTGGCCATATTAGTAAAAACAATACAAAACGCATTGAACACGAATCTCGTGCTATTACTCATCTCACCTTTAATGCCACCGGTACCGAGTTGTTAGTGAATATGGGAGCTGAACACATATACCTTTATGATTTAAATAATGCTGAGCAGCCGGTTTTTTTGAATTTACCAGAATACAAAACCACAAATGATATAGATTGTGGTGCTAGTGGTGGTGACACGGAGTCAACACCACAGACACACAATCGCCGCAAGTTGCCCGAACACATAGAGGATTTCAAGAAACTAGGTAATGAGTTTTTAGAAAATGAAAAGTATTATCTTGCCATACGTACCTATTCAGATGCTATAAGCCAGGCGCCTCAATGGCCGGTGTTGTATCTAAATCGTGCAACGGCTTATATGAGGCGCCTATGGTTTGGTGATGTTTATGCTGCTTTAAAGGATTGTCATACAGCACTGAAATTGGATCCTACGTATGTTAAGGCTCACTTTCGTTTGGCCCGCTCCTTGCTGGAGTTAGGAAGGACACAGGAAGCTGACGAATGTTTAAAGGAATTGATAAGGCGTTTTCCCAATTACGCCAACAATCACGGAGTGCTAATGTTGAATAAAGATATCAAGGAGAATAGACAGACTACACCGCAACAGCATCAACAGCAACAGCATTCTCCGGGATCGGATATTCTAGATCGAGGGGAAATGTCTGATGATGAATTCTATTGGCGTTGCAAAGCCAAAGATTATGCTCAACGTTTTGTGGGTCACTGCAATACAACCACGGACATTAAGGAGGCCAACTATTTTGGCTACGATGGCCAGTTTATTGTTGCCGGTTCAGATGATGGTAATTTCTTTATATGGGACCGTAAATCGGGTAACATCGATAGTATCTACAAGGCAGACAGTGCCATAGTCAATTGTGTTTTACCCCATCCAGAAATATGCTTTATGGCTACCTCGGGCATAGATCATGACATTAAATTGTGGTCGCCCATGCGGGATGAAGAAAAACCGCATTTTGTTGACCCAGTGGGTCGTTGTGTCGAAGATAATCAATTGAAAATGAAAACCGATCCATTTGAAATAAGTACTCGCAATGCCTTCTGTTGGAATGGATAATATTATGAAAGAAAAGAGAATATAAACAAGTTTTTGTGATTTCCTATTTTACAAAAAATCATAATTGAAAAAAAATGGTAAAATGTGCATAGATCGAGTGTTAAGTTCTTATTTTATAGTTGTTTTCTTTTAAAATATGGTCGCATAATAAACATTTTTGATAAATTAATTGTCACCAAGTGAATGTGGTAGTGAAATTGTTTCGTTAAATTGAAAAAAGCTGTGCTTAAGTATTGTGACCATAATTTGGCATAGAAAAGAAAACATTTTTCTTGCAATTATCCCTAATAGTTTATAAAAATATGACATATTTTAAGAAAACGTAGAATTTTTATTTTGTTTATTTAATTTTTTTTTTAAAGAAAAATTTGCATTTGTAAAAATATTTAATTACCTTTGTTATAATATGAAATAAATATTTCGAAATAAATGTTATTTTATTATGTTAAAGAAATAAATTGAATATCAATAGAAATTGGACTGTCTTGGTTTTTTATTTTAATTGTAACAAACAAATATTTAAAACTTGTTAAATTATAAAATCTTAATATTAAATTTATTAATTTTTCTTTTAATTTTATTATTATTTTATTTATAGTATCAAAAATTGGCTTTATGTTTGTTTACAAGTTCTACGATGTTTGGCGCAATCATTTTTTCAACATCATCAAAATTATTACATATTTTCATAACTACATTAAGAATGCTTTTTACTGGTAAGTTTGGTTTTTTTTTTAATTTTTTTGTTTAATTTTAACAAGATTATTGAAAGATAATCAAATCCTAAAATTATATAAAATGCTGGACTAGACAATTTAAAAGAGAAAATCTTAATATTTCGAAAACTGTAGAAACAGTTTAATATTTGTAAAATTGAGACTTAAATCAATAATATAATTTTATATTTTATCAATTGGGAAATTTCGATTTAAGAATGAAATATCAAGCTAAATTTAACCTTAACTATTTTTTGCTTTGGTTATATTATCATTTTGTTCAAAATTACTAAAATAGTTGTAGGAATTTATAATCTTAATAGGCTTACGAAGTGTGTACACATTTTCAAGATTAAGATTAATTTTAAGAGGTTCATTGCGTTATTATAACGTGTACTATCTTACAAAATCATATCGTTTTTGGCAACTGCAGATAAAAAACGTTTTTAGTGAAAATCAATATAATAACTTTTCAAATCGGGTTAATTTAAACAAATCAGTTTCATTTTAAACGTCTTTGAAACATGTTGAAGTATTGCGGCTTAATTTTACTTGTGGTGGCCACAACATTGGCAGCTTCCTTGCCTGCTGAGTATGCGGAGCCTGAACTCTTTAATAACGATCATCGCATTGTAGGTGGACATGAAGTGAATATTGCCAAACATCCTCATCAAATTTCGATGAGACGTAAAAGTTCTAAAACTAGAGCCTTTTCACACATTTGTGGCGGTAGTATTTACAAGGCCAATATTATTGTCACTGCTGCCCATTGCATCTTCAATAAAAAGGCTGATAGTTTCCTTATTGTGGCTGGTACTAACACCCGTAATGGTGGAGATGGTGCTGTGTCTCTAGTTAGTAAAATTATTATGCATGAGAAATACAATTCTTCAAGATTCGACAATGACGTGGCTTTAATGATCCTGTCAACTCCTTTGCCCTTAAATGGTGTTACCATAGCCCCTATTCCGTTGGCTACCGAAGCTCCTAAACATGGTGCTAAGGCTTTTATCACTGGTTGGGGTGCCATTAAAGCTGGAGGTAAATCATCCGATAAGTTATTAGAAGTTCAGGTGCCTGTTATCAGCAATGAACGTTGTGATGCTTTATATGCTGCCTATTATGGTCCCGGACGTATTTCCGATAGTATGGTATGTGCTGGTCTTGATGGCGTCGGTGGCAAAGATGCCTGCCAGGGAGATTCTGGCGGTCCTTTTGTGGTCAACCATCAGTTGGCTGGTGTTGTTTCCTGGGGTCGTGGTTGTGCTTTACCCGATTATCCTGGTGTCTATTCGAATGTTGCTTATTTAAGAAATTGGATCGAAACCAATGCTGCACCATATTTGTAAAATGTGTGCTTCAAATAGTTTTAATAAACGTTTCAAAAAATGTACCTTCTAAGTAGTAATCTTTTATTTTTTTTTTAATGGGTCATAAATTGCTCGTGCTTCCGATAAGCTTCTGAGGTAGGGTAAAATAATATATTTCAAGTGTATTTACACTTTAAGAAATAAAATATTAAGTTTTCGCAAGAAAATTGTTATCTCTTGTAATCAAATGAAAAAGTTTTGGTTTTATAATGTTTTGAAAATGGAAAGTTAGTGGCCGTGTTATTTACATTGTCACGACTAATAGATCTACGCTCCGTAACGACCTGATTTCCAAACGGCCAAAGATTTTCAATTCAGTTACTGCTATATCAACCGGAAGTTTTTCTCGGCTGTACTTTAGAAGTTGTAACAAATTATATCTGAATTATTTTTTTGAAGTATCAATGACATTTATTAACTAAGGAATAGCTTGAATTTGGAAAGACATTTAAAATGAGTTGTATAGCATTATTATTAAAAAAGTCCTAAAAATTTCTTTCACATTGTACTAATGTAAAGTTTTTTTGTGGTGTTCTTGAAACTTTTCCTGATATTCTATAACAAAATGTTTGACCCTTAACTATATAAAATTTTGGGAAAGTTGTTTTAAATACTCAGGTATTATAAACATAATAAATTTATGTTTTTCACAAGCAACCTTCTTTTTTTTGCTATAATCATACCATGATCTTGTTTAACAAATCTAAAATAAAGGCATGAAACTGTTATCATAAATAAACCTTAAGCAACTGTATACAACTTTTCGTTTAAGATTAATTTGCTTTCTTCAGTATGAAACTATAAATCTTGGCAATATTTTATTAATAACAATTGCGTATAATCATTTAGATCGTATAATCTTTTCAATGGTATTTATCGCTCTAATAAAACCTAGATAATAAGCGATTTTTATGATAATCAATAGTTAATATTTCATAACATTTTAAATTGAAGTTTAGTTGGCTTTTAAACTTCTCCACGACATGTTAAAATATTTCGGTTTTACCTTACTTTTGGTGGCCACAGCTTTGGCTGCATCTTTGCCAGCTTTAAACGATGAACCTGAACTATTCAAAAACGATCAACGTATTGTAGGAGGCTATGCAGTAGATATTACCAAACATCCTCATCAAGTATCGATGAGACGTAAAAGTTCTGCAGCAAATGCCTTCTCTCATACTTGTGGTGGTAGTATTTATAAAGCAAATGTAATTGTTACTGCCGCCCATTGTGTTAACAATCGTAGCCCTGAAGTATTCATAATTGTTGCTGGTACCAGTACTCGTAATGGTGGTGATGGTGTGGTGGCCCGTGTTAGTAAAATTATTATGCATGAAAAGTATAACGCATCTATAACGGATAACGATGTGGCCTTAATGATCCTATCCACCCCATTACCCTTAAATGGTGTCACCATTGCTCCCATTACTTTGGCCAAAGAAGCTCCCAAACATGGTGCTAAGGCTATTATAACTGGTTGGGGTACTACCTCATCTGGTGGTTATTCCTCTAATCAGTTACTAGAAGTTCAAGCTCCCATTGTCAACAATGAACGTTGTGATGCTTTATATGCTGTTACTTATGGTCCAGGTCGTATTACTGATAGCATGATTTGTGCTGGTGTTGAGGATGTTGGTGGCAAAGATGCTTGCCAGGGAGATTCCGGTGGTCCACTTTTGGTTAATCATCAATTGGCGGGTATTGTTTCCTGGGGTCGTGGTTGTGCTTTACCCTATTATCCTGGTGTTTACACTAAAGTAGCTGCTTTCACCGAATGGATTGAAACTAAAGTTGCAGAAAATGCTTAAATTTTGTTTAAAATTTAATTATATTAAAGAAAACCTTTAAAATACATACATTTCTGGGAGTCAAAAGCTCTTAAAGTTTAAACATGTTATAAATAAGTAGCATTTTTATTTGTGACATTAATATGGGTCATAAATTATAGGTGCTTTAGATAAGCCAGCGATCTAACTTTTAAAAATTGAACGAGCTTTTATTGTTAATAAAATTTATTTGAAGTGTGCACACACTTTAAGAAATTTGATGATTATTGCTATTTATACAAATGTGTATTTGATATTTTGATAGCTGAAGTCTTCTTTAAATGGAATATACTCCTTATTTCCAACAGTTTTCTTAGTTTAAAAATTCCTTAATTAAATTTCAAATTTAATTTCCAACACAATTGTTTTCAGTGTAATTTTTAGCAAAAATTTTAAGGGGAATTTACTACAATAAAAATATAAACCGTTATCAATATGTGTATTAAATAATTTGAATTGTTTTTCACAAAAGTATAGTAAACTTCTTTACCAAAGTATAAAACTAATTTAGTTAACAAAATTAATTTGAAATGTTTAGAATTGCAATTTTTACGGCTCTATTAGTAGCCCATGTCGAGAGTGCTGCCGTAAATAATCAAGCTCAAGGTCGTATTATAGGTGGACGTGAAGTAAGCATTTCCATCCATCCATATCAAGTATCTATACGACGTAAATCATGTGAATCTTGTGCTTTTCTACATGCCTGTGGTGGTGTTATATATGATGAAAAAACGATCTTAACAGCGGCCCATTGTGTTTATAAACGTCAAGAAAATACATTTGTTGTAATAGCTGGAAGCGATAACCGTTCAGGAGCCGATGGTTTTATAGTGCGTGTCAATAAAATCGTTATACATGAAAATTACAATCCAGCTTTAAGTGAAAATGATATTGCTATAATTATTTTGGATTCATCATTACCATTAAATGGCATTACTACCAGTTCTGTAAGTTTGGCTTCAGAAGAACCAAACACGAATGCAATGGCAGTTGTTAGCGGTTGGGGTGCTACCACGGAGGGTGGTTCTAATTCCATAAAATTGCAAGAAGTTGAGGTGATCATCATCGATCGCGTTGAGTGTGATGCTAGTTATGGTTATGATCGCATTACTGAAGATATGTTGTGTGCTGGTAGTAAAACTGGCGGTAAAGATGCCTGTCAATATGATTCGGGTGGTCCTTTAATAAGCAATAACAAATTGGTTGGTATTGTGTCTTGGGCTATTGGTTGTGCTAGACCAGAATATCCAGGGGTCTACACAAATGTTGCTTACTTTAAAACTTGGATAGAAAATGTTGTCAACAATAATTATTTGCAATAATGGAATAAATTTAATTTAACAAGCATAACATTTTTTTATTGTTAATAAAATGTATTTGAAGTGTGCACACACTATAAGAAATTTTGCAATTAATACAAATGTGTATTTGATATTTTGATAGTTGAAGTCTTCTTTAAATGGAATAAATGGAAAAGTGACCCTTTATTTCTAATTGTTTTCTTAGTTTAAAAATACTTCAATTAAATTTCATATTAAATTTTAAACATAAGTTTTTTCAGTGTACTTTTTAGTACAAATTATTAATGGTAATTTACTAAAATAAAAATATAGACCATTAACAATGTGCCTATTGAAAAAAACATCGAAATGTTTTTAATAAAAATATAGTAAAGTGATTCAGGTGGTCCTATGATAAGCAATAACGTATTGGTTGGTATTGTGTCTTGGGCTATTGGTTGTGCTAGACCAGAATATCCAGGGGTCTATATAAATATTGCTTATTTTAAAACTATTTGGAATAAAATAATTAAACTTTTTATAAATATTTTCCAAATTTTTTATAACTCTGTTTTAAAATATTGACGATAATTTTACTTTTTGCATTAAATTTCTGTTCAAAAACTTCTAAACAAGTTATTAATGTATCTTATAAAGTTCTTCTCGATCATGATAATGACCGTGCAATTAGAAAATATTACGTTACATGTTTAATATTAAGAATTATTTCTTCTTCATTTCTTTTATAATTTGAGACTTATTCTAGCTTTTCAATAACTACAACAGGAATTTTATTCTTAGTTCTATTACCTTTTAATTATCACCAAAACGTTACTTGGGTTATATATACCGCTATCAAAAAAATGTAGCCTATTTTAAGGGCTTCCTAAAAACACTTTAAAATTATTTAATTATTAGTTTGCTAATAAACACAAATATGTACATAGTATTAATAAATTTTAACGATACCGTCCAGACACTTAAAGATATTCAGCTATAAAGATAAATTCTATTTGTAGCAAGTTCATCAAATTAAAATTTACGATCGTACTTAATTATTTGCGAATTAAATGACCAGTATTTTCAAAACAATTTAGTTATTTAGAACGCATTAATATTTAGTCGGGTGATATTCCAAATTTCAAAAAAAAAAAAAAAAATGAAATTTATTTTACTGTTAACATTCTTATCCCTAAGTCAAGGATTTTTTGTGAAGGATTCTCAAGAACCGAATAAACGTATTGTTGGTGGTTCGACGGTAGACATAGGTAAACATGGTCATCAAATAAGTTTACGTAAAAAGAATATTTTTAATCCCAGTGCTCCGTATAGCCACACCTGTGGTGGTAGTATTTACTCTGAAACTATTGTCTTAACAGCCGCCCATTGCATTATAGCTACCGTACCGAGTCAACTAAAAGTGGTGGCTGGTGCTAATATTAAAAATGGCAATGATGGTGTTATGGTACCGGTAAAGGAAATCATTATGCATGAGAATTACAATCCTAAGAATTATAATAATGATGTGGCTATTTTGTTATTGGCGGTACCTTTGCCTTTAAATAAATTTACCATAAGACCCATAGAACTGATAGATGATGAACCCACTGCTGGTACGATGACCACTATTACTGGATGGGGGGCTTTAGTAGAGGGTGGTGCTTCACCTTCACTTCTACAAGAAGTAAAAATTCCTGTAGTTTCTTTCGACGAGTGTAATGAAGATTATTCGGGTGGTATTACGGAATATATGCTATGTGCTGGTTTAAGAGGTCAGGGAGGTAAAGATTCATGTCAAGGTGACTCTGGTGGCCCCTTAACAATACGTAATAAGCTGGCTGGTATTGTTTCTTGGGGTTATGGTTGTGCTAGACCTGAGTATCCAGGAGTTTATGCAAATGTTTGGACTTTAAAATCATGGATATTGGAAAAAATTCAACAAATTAATAAAGTGCTGTAATTTTCCAAAATATAATAAAATAACAAAATTAAAAATCATTTACAATAAACGATTTATTATAAGAATTCTTATCGTTTATAAATGTTTTATTGTGTTGGCGCTTAATCTTTATTGGGTGAATTAGAATTCTTAAACAAATATTAGTTTTACTTTTATGATCTTTTAAAATAGGTACCAAATTCTCAAGGATAATAATTGCTATTTAATTTTTACCAGCTGTATAAATTTGGAGAGTACAGACAAATAATAGCTTATAGATTTGCCAACTTCGCATTACGTCTGTTAAGTTTTATTACACTTATTTACAATTTATTTATGACAGACAATTTATTCCCAAAAGGAGATTATAAATATCATACATTTAATATGCTTTATTATCTGAAAACCAAGCAAAACGTCTTTTAAAGATTAACAATTATTGAGTTTCTATTGATGTAACCTGCTCTCATAACCTAAAATCATTAACCTTACATTCAGTATAGATATGAAAAGTCCTCGAAATACTGAACGATTTTATTAAACACTTAAAGGCGTTAGATACTTCAAAATTCACTCTATAGGGAAAACTATAAAAACCTATAACCGTAGACAAATAACAAACAGTAATAGTTTGGAATCGTAACAATGGAAAAACTTAATATTTGGCTGATAATTGCGTTAACGTTCTTAGCGGTATTGGCTGCAGCAGCACCCCGTTTGGGCGGACGCATAGTTGGTGGCTATGAGGCAGATATAAAGGATATACAATTCCAAGTATCCTTACAAACTTCGTATCACTTTTGTGGTGGCACTTTAATAGCCAAACGTTTTGTTTTAACGGCTGCCCATTGTACTGATGGCAAATCTGCTACAAATCCTCCATTTAATGTACGCTTAGGCTCCAAATATTCCGCCAAGGAGGGTTTAGTTGTTAAGCCCATACAAATCTATCAGCATGAGCAATATAATGCCAATACTATTGATTATGATTTTTCTATATTGAAATTGGAGGACTATGATGAGACATTGCTGCCTTTCCAAATCCAATATGCCAAATTACCCTCCAAGGATGACATTAAAGATGGCACAGTTTTAACTGTTTCCGGTTGGGGTAATACACAAAATTCTTCAGAGTCACGTGATGTTTTAAGAGCCGTCAATGTTCCTAAAGTTAATGAGGATGTATGTGCGAAAGCTTATAATGGTTTTGGTGCCATAACCGAACGAATGATTTGTGCGGGACGTCCAGAAGGTGGTAAAGATGCTTGTCAAGGTGATTCTGGTGGCCCATTATTTAGGAAAAATGTTATTTGGGGTGTGGTATCGTGGGGTTACGGCTGTGCCAGACCTAATTATCCTGGTGTTTATTCTCGAGTATCAACGGTATTGGAATGGATTGAGGCAACTATAGAGGAATAAGTGGGAAAAGGACATAACGACTTTTAAAAATATTCTATGAATAAATTAATTAAATATTAAACAAATTACTAAGTTATTGTGTTTTGTTGTGAATTCCAAAGTTGTTAGATATTAATTTCTGCAGGATTAAGGGAACTGTTCAGAATTAGTGCATTGACTGGTTCTTTGGGCATAGGGAAAGCTTCTAGTTCTATCACTTTATATAAAGGAGACCTATTATTATAACATGTCTGGCAAGGAAATGTATACCTTTATAACAAATTAAATTTAGGTGCCGAACTGTGACATTTGATAACGATCGACATTTTTTTTAATCCCATAGATTTCCATCGATATCGAATGTCATAATTGGGTTATTGAAACAGTTCTTAATATGTTGGATGTTCTTCTTTGGGAGAAGACTTTCAGTTTATACGGCCGTTGCTGAGTTGATAATCTACAGCCAATTGGGAATCTGGTAATTCCGAAACAACGTTCCAATTATCGTGGTCGATTTGTTTGCTATTTTATTTACTTATTCTTTCTCTTTACGATTAAATGGTATAAACTGAAATGTAAAAAAATGCGAAGTCAACATCACTACTATTTTAGAAATGTACATATTAGGGTCTTAAACCCTCTAAATCAAAATTCTAGGAAGCATACTCGATATATTAATTGATTGTTAATATGAAATTATTCGAAAGAACTTTTAAAACAGATGCAATTTTTTGAATCTGTAATTTTAACAATGACCGTTATTTCTTCTCTTCTTATGCACATGCAAAAGTCCAAAATAATTTTATTAAATCGGGTACGATTACAAGAATAAATCAAATGTTGTAAAATAAGAACAAATTGTTTGAACTATAGTAAAATAAAAGAACTTTTAACTAATAGTAGCATTTCAAAAATAAGTTAACACTTTTTATTTATATACATAATTAAAATTAAATACATTTACAATTTAGCTACTTCATTTTCAATCCATTCTTTAAAATACAACAAATTCGTATAGACACCAGGAAAATCGGAATTTGCACAACCATTACCCCATGAAATCAATCCCACAGCATTGTCTTCATAAACTAAAGCGCCTCCGGCATCTCCTAAACAGGCATCTGAATCATCACCAGCTGCACATAACATTGCTGGCGATATACGATTTTCACCATAGGAACGTTTGCAGTTCAAAACATCTACTATATTGACATTAGCGATTTGTAAGATCTCGGAAAACTGGCCATTTGCACTAGAATCGGTAACACCCCAACCAGCTATAGTAGCAGAACTATCAACCGGTGGCATGGTGGTAATCAAATCAATAGGATAGATTTCCTTTGGTAGGCTCGAAGTTAAATCAAATGCTAGTATTAGAAGGGCCAAATCGTTATCCATAAACCATATATTATAATCGGGATGTATTATATATTTCTCTACCAAATACAAATAGCCATCGTTTTGGGTGCGATAAGTAGAACCGGCTTTAACATGTATGCGACTCGTATCCAAACCCACTAAACAAGTGGCTGTTGTTAAAATCACTTTCGAGGAGTAAATTGTACCCGAGCAACGATGTTCAAAGGGTGTTGAATTGTTTTTCTTATAACGTATAGAAACCAGATATGGTGCTTGAGTTATTACACTAGTTTCACCACCAATTACACGACTTTCGATTGGACTCGTTTCACTTGTAGACATGCAACAAAGTAATAATGTTGTTATAAAAGTTAATTTTAAAAATTGTTGCAACATTTTGTTAATATAGGAAATATATTGTCTATTATTAAATAAGGCGCTGCAGTTTGACTGACCGACCTGTTGCGAAGGTTTTGAATTTAATTTTAAAACTAATCAACAAAAATGCTTTGACATTTCAGTTTAATAATTTTAATGAAAACATAACATATCAGTTATTATCTTAAAAAGTATATTAATATAAAGTACCCTACTAGAAGACATTAACTGCAATGTGAATAAAATGTTACGTTATTCCTTAAAGCTTAAAATATTTACCTAGTGAATGATGGATGGTAATATATTTAATTTTCAAAAATAACTTTTGATTTATTTTCAGAATTTATTCTTAGTCTGAAGATTAAGGTTGAATTGTGGTCGTTTTTGTTTGACACTTTTAGATTTGTACTTTGTATTTATCATAAATTGTTTAAAGAAATACAATATGAATCAAAATTCTTAATAATTATATCGGGTATTGCTTTTAAGTTGATAAGGAGGCTGAATTATGGTCGTTTATGTTCAAAACTTTCTTATGTGATAAAAATGTATTTGTTTTGCCTCTATGCCCATCTTATCGATTTACTGATAATAGTAGTTTTTAGCCCTATAAATTAATATTATGTATATCGCGCTCGATTTGTTGTTATCTTAATTCCGGAAAATTAATACAAACATTGTATGAGTAATGCGCAGATCTTCACAAGATTCAATGAAATTCATTATAGTCAGCAGTATTTTTTGTGAAATGTCTATTTTAGTTTATTGGTGCAAAATCCTTTTTTTAATTTCGGCGAAATAACGATTTTTTGTTAAATGTAAAATTTTTGGTGGAATATAGATTTTTTGATATAAAAAACTTTTTTTGCGAGTTTCAGGTGAAATACTGATTTTTGGTGAAATGTAAAATTTTTGTTGGAATGCATTTTTCCGGTGAAATAATTGAAATATTGATATTTTAGTGAAATCTTTGGTAAAATATTGTTTTTTGAATATATATTTGACTTTTTGGTGAAATATCAAGTAAAATTCTCTTTTGCTTGAAATTTCTTCCTAAATCGAATATGATATCCAATAACCCATTGTTTTTTATAGGGTAAATCACAATCTATTTTGCTCTATAAGGAATAGTTTGGCCCTAGTACCTAAGTCCCCTAGATTTTAATATTTCGGAGCTTCAGGAAGTTGATTTTAACAAATCGAATAATGATCTTTAGTTCAGATAAAAAACGTTGATACCTATCAAAGAAGTCCAGTTCATATAGCTTTCAGCCAAATTTTCGAGTTGTATAGATTTCAAAAAGATCTTTTGATGAAACACCCTAGTATGGAGCAGATTCATACACACCGAAATATAAATTATACTTTTAGGTGCTATATAAATTTCACTTAAATATTAATAACAATTACTTTACTTAATAATATTCTCTAATTGAAATGTTCATGTCCATAAACATTTATTAGTAGTAGTAGTACGTTTACACTATACAGTAAACATTTTTTGTTTATATTATATTCCATCTTATCTTAATGAGCTATCGGGAGCACTTTTAGATTACGCTACGGTTATTAGTAATAAAACTAATGCAAAACTGTTGGAATTATAAATATGTATGTATTTTTATGGGAGTTCATATATACATATATGTAGTTTCTAAATGAACAACAAAATACTTTTTATTTGTTATCAGGACGATAATAACCCGGTCTATAAGTTAGTAAAATGGTCAATGGAATAAAAATATAATTATAATATACAACCTTTAGTATTTAATTGAACTCACTTCATTACGGTTGAAGAGCAAATAATAAAAGTATAGGAAATGTACAAACATTTCATAATCTGTATATTATGGACTTTATGCGCTGTAGTGGCTGCTGCTCCTGAAGGTCGTATTATAGGCGGCCGTGAAGTTGATATATTTAAACATCCTTATTTAGTGTCAATACGTTATAGAACACAACCAAATGAATCGTATGTCCATAAGTGTGCTGGTGCTATTTATAGTGAACGTGTAGTGGTGACTGCTGCCCAATGTGTGGTTGATATTAAGGATAATGAAAAGGTAATGGTAGTAGCTGGTGCTAATTCCCGCACTGGTGTAGATGGTTTGCCTTATCCCGCCTTAAAATGGTTTTCACATCCCAGCTACTCTTCTTGGACGGTGGACTTTGATATTGGTGTAATAATCATTGACGATGTTTTTGATTTTAAACAACTGAATATGAATGCTATAACTATCAAAGAGTCTCGTCCCTTAGACGGTAAAGTTGCTACAGTTGCCGGTTGGGGTTATCGTGAAGAATTTGGTCCTTCTTCTTCGCGTCTCGAAGAAGTACAGGTACCTATTGTAAGCACAGCCGAGTGTACACAATCGTATGGTGTTGGTGAAATAACCGAACGTATGATATGTGCTGGTTATGTTAAGACTGGTGGTAGAGATGCTTGTCAAGGTGATACTGGTGGACCTCTTGTGATGAATAATCAATTGGTGGGTTTGGTATCATGGGGACGTGGTTGTGCCCGTCCTGGTTATCCCAGTGTTTATACTTTTGTACCGGCTTTGAAGAAATGGATCGATGATACAATTGCTGCTAATGTTTAATTCAAGTGTAGTTATAATTTATTTAAAAATAAAGGTATTTTTTTAATGAAAAAAATTTGGTTTAAGTATTGAAATCAGAAACGTTAATTTCGTGATATCCGTATGTCGGTATTAGTCCCCAGAGTCCGGACGGGAGAGAGGGTGAATAACTACTCCCATTCTCACTTCCATAGCTTCAGAAAAAAAAATTTTTCGAACCAAAATCATTTTACTAGAAAAAACTTAGAGCTCGTAGAAGAAAGTCGATATTAGTTAGAACACAATTTAAACAATTCTCTTTTGTTTTAGTGTATAAGTCAGATTCAGACGGAACAGAGCATGAATATAAAAATTGCTCTCCATTCTAACACTCTTTTAGAAAGTTAGAAATAGCTTAAGAAAAAGTATTTTTTTAAATAATTTCCTTTAAAATCTATCTTTTTGGTCAAAATCCTTAAAAACCTAAAACTCTTATAAATTTGTCAAAATGGGTTTAAATTAAAAAAGGAGCTTATTTTGTGATCACTAATATTTTCCTTCAAAAGTGGACAATTTTTTATTTTATTTATTAATTCAAAAAGGCTTATAATTTCGTTAAAACGCATTTAAATTGAAATTCATATTTTCTACAATAATCGATTTTTTTTTGTAAAATACCCAGAGAAAATTAATATCGATTGTAAATTATTTTGTGATCATCCATATTTTTCTTCAATAATCGATTATCAATCGATAAACGTTTGAATACCCTACTAAGTATTATTTAAAATTTTAAGAGTAATTTAATGCGAATAATACTCCTCTCATTTAAAGTTCAATTTCAATTGGTACTCTTGCATTCCAAAAATATCTTAATCTTTTTATACCCCTATCTATCAGTTGTTATGGCCCATACATTTGTATGTTAATCGGTTAACTATATCAATTTAATATATGATATAGACAAGTTATCTCTAAATAAAGTAAAAGAGGTATAAACTCTGTAATCAAACTAAACCAATATACAAATTTAGTTGCTATTGAAAGCTGTTCCCTGCAAGACTTCTAAACTTTTTCCGAAACCATGAACATTTGTATTTATATAACAGCCCTAATATTGGCTTTACATTTCGTTGAAAACGAAGCCGCAAATGTACGTACCGTGGGTGATTTTAAGGCATCTCACATCACCCAATTCCCTTTTGAGGTTTCAATACGCCGCAGATTTTGTGATGCTTGTACTTATGAGCATTATTGCAGTGGTACTATATATTCCCAGAATGTTATTATAACTGCCGCTTCCTGTGTAAGAGACGCCAGTGTACAACGTACTCAAGTTATAGCTGGTACCTCAAAACGTACTACTTCTGCTCAAGATGGTCAAGTTTATTTGGTGGATAAAATTACGTTACATGAAAATAACGATATAGATATTGCTCTTTTACATTTATCGTTGGATCTTAAATTTAATGGCCTTACCATTGCTCCTGTTAAATTGGCTACTCAAGTGCCTATTGCTGGTAAGAAGGCTGTGGTTGCAGGTTGGGGTCAATTAAACGAAAATGTAGTGAATTTCGAAGAAGATATTAAAGCGGTTCAAGTACCTATTATGGATTTGAATTTATGTAAAGAGACCTATTTTTGGACTAATGTCAAGGATACTGAGATTTGTGCCGGTTATTTGGAAGGTGGTGTAGATGCTTGTCTAGGTGATGCTGGTAGTCCCTTGTTGGTGGATAATGAAATGGTGGGTATTGTATCGTGGGGTTACGGTTGTGCCCGCCCTAATAATCCGGGAGTTTATACAAATGTTGTAATGTTGAGAAATTGGATTCAACAATATGCTTAAATTAAACGAAAATGTAAATTTATTATTAAAATAAATAATTTTATAAAACATTTACCGCTATATGTCTGTTTATTTTTTATCGTAACAATATATTGACAGTTTTCATGCTAATAGGCCTTATTTAGATACATTGATCACATTTATTTATAATATCTTTAAGTAAGAAATTAAGATCGGCAAGACGGACATCATTTAATCATCGAAGTAAAATGATTTGTGTTTATGCTTTTAAGGTTTAACACTTTTATGAAAAAAATACTTTTGATCTGGAAAGTAAATGTTTTAGAACGGCTCGACTTGAGTCAAGTATGAATAAGTTTATTTAAAATGTACTATACTATAAATTATAGACTAGTTAAATAATTTATTGCTAACGATTTCGTTAAACTATGAGAACTAATGCTCTAGTTTTTTAATGCTTTTCTTATCTCAGAAAAGTTCCTCAAATTTTAAAAAGAAAAGGTAATTCATTATACATTTCGATTCTTTGATAATCAGAATGATAAAATAAAACCGGTAAAAAATTATAAAACTATTTAGGTTTTTATAAAAAAAAGTGGACAATACCAATCTGCAGGGTTCGGAATAGGCATTCCTTGGCCTTATTTCCATTGTTTAGCAAAATTAGTAAAAGTGACTATAGAAGTTGCTCGAACCAAAACTGAAGTTCAAACTCATTATTGAAACTACTTTAAACTTTTTAAAATTTTAATATAAATTTTACACAATAAATTTATTATATTTACAAAAAGGCATATTCTTTAGTATTTACTTTAGCAGTTTCCTCAATCCATTGATAAAGTTGGGGCACTGAAGCATATACACCTGGGAAAGTTTTACGAGCACAACCAATGCCCCATGAAACAACACCCAATAATTCATTGTTAAGGATCAAAGGGCCGCCAGAGTCTCCTTGACAGGCATCCTTACCACCACCAGTAACTCTAGCACACAACATACGATCGGTTAACTGCAAAGGATATGATTTTTTGCAAACACTATTCTCCACATAATTGATATGGACTTCTTGCAATTGATTAGGAATGCTACCACCTTCGGTCAAAGTACCCCAACCGGTAACAGTTACCTCAGTACCAGCTTCAGGTCTAGACTTGGCCAAAGCAATAGGTTGTATAAACTCATTGAAGGGGAAATGACCCTTCAAAGTCAAGATAGCGACATCATAGTCGTTGTTGGATGTCTTGTAATTTTCATGGATAATATATTTGTTAACGGGTAATTCCCAGGTAACGTTATTTAAGTATGTGGAACCAGCTACAATACTCAATTTACTGGCATCCACACCACCGGCTACACAATGGGCTGCACTAACTATAACATTGCTCGCATAAACACTGCCACCGCAACGATGTCTGCCATTGTAACGCATAGAAATTTGATGGGGATATTTGCTAATATGGGTGGGGTCACCATCTACAATACGGCCATCGGGTAGGGGTACCATAGACTGAATATCAGCCATCAATCCTGGTACCAAAAGTACCGCTACAACTGCCAAGAGTTTAAACATTTTTTGGTGGAAAATTTTTTAAAAACTAAAAAATTTTTGTGTTAAACAATGATATTTATATGTTTATTGGATCCACTACTATATACTTTTTTAACAATAATATTTTTTGATTAAATTGAAAGGGTTAGTAAATCAAAATTTAATCTTTAAGTTTGTTTTTATTTTCCTTTCGATATCTTTGGCGAAAAATTCTGTTTTTTTGCTGTGTGTTATCAATTGAAAATTTTGTTTTATTTCAAAAGGGTTATAAATATAAGATTTATTATTTGTTAAATATTTAAGATTTTCAAAGAAAACATTTGCTGAAATTGTGGTTTTCTTAGATTGTTTAAAAGTGTATTAAATTAATAACTATAATTTTAACAGTATTTCTTATCTTTAACAGGGCTTTGAAATTAACAGCTGATTTATTGTTATTAAAAAAGTTTACATATTTTAAGGGGGATTTAAAAAATTTTAGTTTTGGTAAAGTGGATTTTAAGTTGGTTGTGGTACTCATGTTTAAGCAAACTCAGAATCGATTGCTCTATAGCAGTCATGGGCAAACATATACCACCATGTGTATTTTTGTGCGTTAAGCAGCAGAGAGATGACTGCACGTTATAACAAAATGGTGGTACACTGAGAAAAGTTTTGAAATTTGTTTTCTATTGCAAATACTTTTTACGACGAGAAAAACTCATGAACTTTTGGGCATTTTAAACAAAAATGGAATAAAGGGAAAGAGTTTTTCATTTAAGAAAAGTAGTAGTATTTTTAAAAAGTAGTATTAAATAAAACTACTGAAATATCATTAAGAAAATCACGACTTTCTATTCGATTTCGAACTTTTAAGGGATATTACCGAGATATTAACTGAACTTAATTTAAAGTTCAACTAATCTATCCAAATCAATGTTTCCTTTATATTCCTTAATACGCAATAAGTCACCAATGTGTTGATCGGTTAACCTTTTAATTGCAACAACTTTAATGTCATTTAAGGGTCCATGGCAAGTTTCATAATGCCTTTTCAAAAAAAATAAAGCTTTTCTACATATAATTTTATAACATACGACGCATTGTGCCTCACCGTCCATGTTTTCTATAAAAAAGAAATCATTTTCCCAATTTATATCAAACATTTTGCTAGGTGTAATAAAAGAGAAAAAATCATAAGCATAAAAAAATCCGCAACGTGATCTTGCTTCTACAAAAGCTGAACAGCAACTGATTTGATTTTGATCTCTGAGATCGTAACAAAGCAACAAACAAGTGGTCATTTTAGTAAAACACAGACACACTAATACACACAAGCTTATAGTGTAGGTGTGTCAACAAAGCGTCAGCAGAATTTCTTGGCCTATGCACGCGTGCATTAGAATTTCAGTTTTGCTCGTGACTGCTCTATAGTATTATAGTCGATCTGTACAGTAGTTATACAAATTTTTCAATGGAGGACGAAAACTATTAACAATATGATATCATGGATAGATTTAAATTTAGTTTAGTTTCCCTGAAACTATTTTGTATGAAATGAAGAACATCTATTCCCAGATCCTATATTAACTCCACCTTCACAATATATTAATTCCTTGTAAATAAGAGAATCTAAATTTGGATTAAGATTCCACGTCCCTCTTTTGAGGAATTCTTCAGAAATCGTTTAAATTTTAGAAAGTCGAAACCCAAGGACCAATATACACTTACCTAAAGGATTGAGCTGCGCTGAATCCTAATGGTTGCTTCAAGCTTTATTTCGAAAAAGGAAGTATATATAAAAGAGGTTAAAACTTTATTTTAAAGTCAAGAGATTGGACTTACATACCACATAACAGTTTTTATAAATGAGGATTTCTTCACGTCTCAAATATGACCAGAAATGAGTTTTTTATTTAAATTTTAGAACATGATATCTGGAAATCTTAATGGGATTGAGAAATTCTGAGTCCAGATTCGTACTCCGTGCAGCTTAATATCCTTTAGAAAAGTATTATTTATCATCTAGTTTAAAAAATTAGTTAGCCTGTGTTATTAACATTTAAATTACTTTTGATTAAGATTGCAAAGATTCTTCACCCTTGTTTCGCACTTCAACTTATTAAATCTAAGTACATATTATCATCAAAGTATTATTATTTAATAGATATATTTTAATTAAGAAAAATATTTTGTCTAGACCAGCTATACTCATGACAAATCAAATGAATAATAAACAAATTGCAGATAATCGTGTCGAATAAAAAAGTTTCTTTTTAGTTTATTTACCTGAGTCATTTAGGGAATTCTTTTGAATTTATAAAATAATCAGTTAAATTCAAACTAAAGTTTGTGAAAACATTGATAAGTAATTGTATTTCATATAAAACATATAAAAGCTTTATTAATATTATCGATAGAAAAGAAATACTCATAATTAGCAACATAAATATAAATCTATAAGAATCAGTGTACCAGCTCCTAATTGGAAGAAAACAGTAGCCAAGATTTTGTATTTTTAAAATTATATAGTTTTTTTTTTTAATTTGCTACTAATTTTGTTGTTATTTTCTTATCTTTTTACCATAATTTGTTATTATTGCTTATAGGTTTTTCATTTTAAAGTAAAAAGACTACCGAAATGTTTATAATGGATATAAACTCATTATGTTATATAAATAATTCTGATAAAACGCCTTATTGGGGATATCAACTAATAAATATAGGGTGTTCAATAGGTAATTTCTAAAAACTACAACGCAGTTTCTAAAAAGTTAAAGGAGAAAAAGTGTTTCAAAAATTTAATGGCTTTGGGTCCTATTTTAAGTTTTAATCTATTAAAATCACAAATCTATATTGTTTGTTATGTCTAGAGATTAAAGAGAAATTTAGTTTCCTTCAACCAAAAATAAACAAATTTAAAGAAAGATAAGTTTTTTTAGTTCATATAAACTTTAGCTAGTTTAATAATTGCGCGAATTTTTTTTTGAGACTTTGTTCGACTTACTATTTGATAATATACGATTATTCAGCTTTTTTTTCACAAATTTCTTTTAAAAATTAACGATTATCCATATTGCTGCTGTTGGTAGTATATAAAGTCGATCAAAAGTTTTTTAAACAATTATTTCTTTTCAAAATGTTGAAGTGTAACGGTAACAGTTTAACAGCGTTGATAGTACTTTCTCTTTTTGTAGGCCTACAGGGCTACGTAGTGCCAAGTGCAGTGGATAATAATAAAGATGGTCGCATAGTTGGTGGCATAGAGACATCTATTGAAAGATTTCCCTATCAAGTTTCAGTGCGTTTATACAGTTATATATTGATACATATTTGTGGTGGTTCTATTTATGCTCCTCGTGTTATCATAACTGCGGCCCATTGTATTAAGGGTCGCTATGCTTCGACTATACTTATAGTGGCCGGTAAATCTTCGATTATAGATCAAGAACCCGCCTTAGCAGTTGCCAAATTGATCTATAATCCGGGTTATAACAAAAAGGCCCATCTTAATGATGTTGGTCTTATAATATTAAATGAGCAGTTGGTTTACTCCCCTAATATCCAACCAATACCTTTGGCCGAGCATAAACTTCAAGCGGGCTCTATAGCCACGGTAACGGGTTGGGGACAAGATGATGAAAATGCTGAGTATATGCAAAATCATTTACAAATGGTCCAGTTGACTATAATCGATCCTGAATATTGCAATAGTCAATATGCTGCTAAAAGTTTAACTATTACTGAGGAAATGGTTTGTGCCGGAGTTGAAGATTTTACCAAGGATTCGTGTCAAGGAGATTCCGGTGGTCCCTTGGTAGTTGATGGTAAATTGGTTGGCATCGTTTCTTGGGGTATGGGTTGTGCTCGCGATGGTTTCCCTGGTGTTTACTCTAGTGTGCCTTATCATACTCAATGGATTTTGGACAATGCTGCAGAGTACCTGTAAAAAAAGCATTTCAAGTTGGCCCTTAAAGAACAAATATCTGACAAATTGTGATTATAATGAAATTAACGAACAAATTTTTTGAAAAACAAATTTAAATATTAGCTTTTAAGTACCACATTTTTTTAAAAATAACAATAATAATACTTTTTAATCTTTTATACATTAATCATAAATGAGGTTATGGTTAAATATTATGAAATAAAATCACTTTATTGTGTATTTTTTATAAATTTACTTTATAAAATCCCTTTTTATTGCATAATTATTGAATAAAAATCATTATTCCGATTTAACTTAATTTTCTTAGCGAAACTTTGTCAGACTTTCTGATTTTTTTAATTTAAAATTATGTGCTCTGTGGTCAGTCGCTTGTAATCCATAAATTACGAAAACAACACTTTTTAATTAAAAGAATTAATATATTAATTAAGTTGATCAAACTGTTTATTTATCGTAAATGTAAAAGAAGAGCGAACATTTAAGCCAAATTAGATTGAATCCAGTTGCTCAAATAAGCAACATTACTGTAAACGCCAGAGTAATCAGGACGGGCACAGCCTACACCCCATGAAACAATACCAACCAATTCTCCATTTGCTACTAGTGGGCCACCAGAGTCACCTTGACAAGCATCCTTACCGCCAGAAGAGACACCTGCACACAACATCGCTTCAGTAATTTCGTTAACACCACTGTATTGCTTTTGGCAAACGGCTGGATCGACAATAACAACAGGCACCTGTTGCAAGATGGAAGCAGCTGCACCATTTTCCTCCAAAGTACCCCAACCGGAAACAACAGCAGGAGTACCAGCGGCAGGAACTTGCGAAGCCAATTGAATGGGCTTGGCAGTAGCACCCAAGGGAATGTCAGAGGCCAAAAAAATTAAGGTCACATCATTGTTGATAGCAGAGCCATCATAATTTTCATTCTTGACAATACGTTCAGCTGCTACAACATTGTTATTACCACCAACGACAGTAGTACCATATTGTACGCTATAGGAGCTGGCGCCCAAGAAGGAATATATACAGTGGGCAGCAGTTATTACAACACGATTGTTAACAATGCTACCACCACAAATGTGGGAGCCAAACAGACGTACGGACACTTGATAGGGATATTTATCAATAGTAGTATCCTCGCCACCAACAATGCGACCATCCAACTCTGGAACTCTTGGCTTGATTACACTACCTTGAGCCAAAGTAGCCACAACAGTTAAAACAATGAAAGCGCGATACATTATGACTTTTTGAAATCGTTCACAACTCTATGGATCTTAAGAAAAAACACTTATTATTTTATAGCAAAAAATGTTTTTACCAATTTCCTAAATGATCATAAATTTTCCTAAACGACGACTGTAGATAAGACAAAAATTATAGAAAGGGAAAAAATTCTAAAATGTGCCTGTAAAAATGCAAAATAAATCTTATCTTATAGAGTTATTGGTCGATTGGTGTCTTTGTCCATGTGACGCAGCTATTGGAGTTAAAACATTTATTTTTATATTTACGATGTTTTAACTTTAAAATAAACTGTTAATAAATCATACTTGTGCATATTTAGGAGAAAATAAATCAAAAAATATTTGGACGATAACGACAAGTAATATAAACAAAAAATGCCAAAAAATTGCATTATTATTTAATATTATAAATAAACCTAAAAAATATATTTTTTTAAACATTTGTAAATATTAAAATATTTACGTTTGATCTCGACTTTAAATCGTTGATGCTTTTCGCACAAAAAATTGCCTTTCCCATTTGTTTCCCACTTTGTCATGAAAGTCAAATCAATCTTTCTGGTATTTTTATTTAAACGTCAAATGATCAGTTTTGTCGTCCGTTGTTTTTCGAGAGCGGATTTAATTGTAATTAATCTCTGATATATAACGTTATCTATTTCTAGACTTTTCTTCAAGTGTATTTTTATTAATAGGAAACAATAATGCCAATTAAACTATGTTTCATAAAAAATTTTGCGTTTAAAAATGCAGTTCATAGTAGTACCGCGGCTTAATTACAATAACATCGGATATCGTGTCTAAAACATCAGTTTTTTTTGCCATATTTGGGATCTTAGAACCGCATGAATACACCTTTTTTACAAAATCTGTCTGACATGTGGTCTGAAAGTCCATTCTATCCACATCTACTATCTACATCTGGTTTAGTATTTTGAATTTTATGATTTAAAAAAATAGTTCATTATCAAAACATTCAAACAATATTTTCTGAGTTATGACATTAAATACGATCTTTAAATTATCTGAAAAGTAGTGTAATTTAAAATTTATAACTTAAAATTTAAAAAAATAATAAAGATTTGAAACAAAATTTATATTATGGAGATTATTATGCTTGTTCATATTAAGCGGGTTTTTAAAAAACAAAAATGTTAACATCACTTAATATGAGTCTCGTTTCGAGTCTCTATAAACGCTACTATAGTGTTTTCACATAATTGTGCAATTTCTATAGCTAGCTCTTTTCAACCACTGTAATTTCCTATATTACCTCTGTATTTTCCAAGGAAATTTGTAGAATTTTCATCATTACTTCAATCAAACGCAATCAAGTCAGAAGCAAAAAAACACACCATACGATAAAACATTGAATTATTTACAAAAAAATTGTGCAAACTATTTTAATTGAAAGTGAATTGCAATTACAAGCATATAATTTACATTTAAACAGTGTTAAAACATAAATATAAACAATATGTCGCTGTTTGGTTCATTAATGGGAGATTTCGATGATGACATCTTTGGGTAAGTTGGAATGGAAGAAGAAAAAAAAAAAATAAGTGGTAGAGAAGACTGTTAAAAGCTATTGAAAAAATCGTATGTAAATGTGTATATGTTATATATTTTTTAGTTTTTATCGTATTTGGGGCGTGGAAAATTTTCTAGTTAATTGTAGGCAAAAAAGCGAAAATTAAATTAGTTATTAGGTGATTTTGAAAAGGAGAAATAAACCTAAATTGTTAAATATCTATCTGTTCAATGAAAAATGTATGGCCATTACAATGAGGTGTAGTTGGTTGTGCTGCATAAGGGTTTATTTTTTTGCTTTTTATGTAAAGCCTGCTCTGCACTACCCCCACTCTTGGCCCACCACATAAGGTGTTATGAAAATAATCAATAATTGGTTAATTTTCGAAAAAAATAAAAAGGGAAATACACTTGTTTGGAAAATTCAAGAAATTTTATTGTTTTTGATGATTAATGAAAATGGTTTTTATTTTATAGAATTGTCATATTTATTTTTTTCTTTTGTTATTTGAATTTTTGAAATTTTCTGTTCTTTAAAATGCCTCTTGATAAAAGAAAGAAAAAGAAATCGATATTAAAAGCTAAGCCTAATCTAGATGTAGTTATTTTTCAACATCCCTTTGTTATAGTTAACAATATAATGTTAGTTGTTTTTGCTTTTCTTAAGAGATCTTTGCTAATTATATTTGTTGTTTTTCAGAAATCACATGAATGCTATGAATATGCAGATGCGTTCTATGAACCGTTTGATGAATTCGTTTATGCCCGATCCCTTTAATATGTTGACCAATTTTGATGGCGGTTTCCAACAAAATGCTTTAATGGAACGTCAAAATCCTCATCCCATGGGTGGTTTATTTGGTTTTCCTGCCATGCCCAATATGAATCGTTTACTAACTGCAGGTAAGTTGTAATAAAAGCACTTATTAAACAGTTTAAAAGTAAACAACTCTAAAAAGAGACATAAAATTGTCCACAAAAAATTGTAAACAAAAATTATAAACAATTTTAAATAGATTCCAAACCAGATAATTTAATAATATGCAGTCCTTATCGTAACTTATAAATATTATATTACAAATTTATAACCTTAAATTTTAGACATTGGCAATAATGGCGGTGCAGCATTTTGTTCAAGTTCTGTCATAACCATGTCCTCTGGCCCGGACGGGCGTCCACAAATCTATCAGGCTACTAGCAGCACAAAAACTGGACCAGGTGGCATACGCGAAACACGCCGTACTGTACAGGATTCAGTTAATGGTGTTAAAAAAATGGCTATTGGTCATCATATCGGTGATCGTGCTCATATTATTGAAAAAGAACAAGATTTACGTTCGGGTCAATTGGAAGAACATCAAGAATTCATTAATTTAGATGAAGATGAAGCAGAAGATTTTGATCGTGAGTTTACAACAAAAGCACGTGGTCCCGCTGGACGCATGGGGGCCAGAGCTATATGTGCTGCCGCGCCAGTAGCACCACCACAACAAACACTTACCATCGAAGAAATTGAGGATGATGACGATGATGTTATTGAAACGGTTCCTCATGTCCAAAGGCCTTCGTCATCATCTTCACAACATCGTAGACATATGCCAGCTATACCAGCACCATCCCAACCACCATCAACTCAATTACATCAAAATAGGTAAGTCTTTATTTGTTTAACTTAAAGTTTAAGGGCATTTTTTGTGTTAATAATTGTAAATATTTTCATTTTCATTATTTTGTTTATTTGTCAAAATTGTTTTTTGTATATGAAGTCCTTAATATAAATTAAATTATTAATTTTAAAGCTTTAGCAAAAGAAAAAGCTTAACATTTAATTTATTTAGCTAAAAACGCACTTTGTGAAACAAAAAGAAATGATAGACTGTTTTAAGACAGAATTTATTTAGCTAATTCATAAGTTAAAGGAAACTACAGACAAAATTAAAACAAACCATATAAATTGTATTAACAACTTAGTATAAAGTATTTGCGGCTTAAAATTTTGTTATAATTTTGTCTATAGACTCCTTTTTAACTCAAAGAACTAAAGCTCGCCTTCCAATTTTTTTTTACAATACTCCTCATTTTGACTTCAATTTTTTTGTTTTTAATAAGTGAAATAAATGTTCAATTACAAATATTTGATCTTTTTGCAGATATAATCATTATTAAATAAAAAACACTTAATACTTGCTTAAAAGTAAAAGTTAAAGCGTATAAATATTAAAAACCAAAAACACTCCCAGCTACTTGCGATCTCTCTTCTAAATAAATAAAATCTTTTAAAAAGAAAATGCGCTTAAATTAAAAATACTAACGAAATACTTACGAAAAAATCTTAACAGCAACAAACAATACTAATTAAAACTTAAAATAATTAAATCCAAAACCCTAAAAAACACTCAGAGGTAGGCGGAAATAACTATTTTTCAAATTTATAATTTTTCAGTTTAAAAATAACATTATTATAGATTTTTTCTTAAGTTTTTATTTTTTATTATTCAAATAACAACCCCTCTTTTTAAAATCTAGTAACTCTTCATTAAAAACTTCTTTATATCAAGTATTTTCTTTTGAAATCATTCATCAATTTATACATTTGTTTTAAATATAATTTTTCTAATTATTTGGTTTCCACAAAAAACACAAAATCGCATCATCTAAATAACTCTTTTTACATACTCCAATTTAAATGTGAATGAAACAAAACAATATTTTTCTTTAAAATTCATCATTCAGCTCTACTTCTAAATTGAGTACGTCTACTACTTCCTCGGCTACCAAAATGTCGCCGTCGTCGCCATCGTCTACGTCGAGAAATAATATAAATGCTCGGTCCTCGACTACAACAATGTCTACATCATCAACACCCACGATTACGACAAGCAGCAGTAGCAGTGTCAATAACAATCCGTATTTATCGACAACTCCCAGACGTTCGACTTACCGTGGCAGTCATCATTTGACAGGAGCCTCTGCACGCAGACCTCTGCGTACGCCACCATCTTCGCCCTTAGCTACAACACCAACAATTCACAGCCACAGTACAGCATCTACGCCAAGGTTTGTGTGTTTACCTTAACAAACAAAAAACAATTATCAAACAAATTGTCTATTTTCATCACCTAAAAGCGTTTTTTGCTAAAAAAAATATTACTGCGCAAAAGCAACATTTTTCTTAATATTACTTAAAGCTTTACTTAAATACTTTTAATTCTTTAAATCTTTCAAAATATTTTGAAATATTTAAACAATTTTTGCTAAATATGTGAAAGAATGGAATATTTCCTAATACATTATTAGAACTACTTAGATTTCGTTGGCTAATCGCTTTATGCCTGAGCGCCTTACTAAAACCTTAAAACATTTATTTTTATAAAAATTTTGCAAAACCATATCTCAAAAACCAAACAATTCCAATCATATTTAACATCATTATTAAATCTCAAATCCAAATTTCTCTCTATTTAGAGATTGGCGTTTATATAACCCACGTTTCTATCGCAAGTAAACACAATCAAAAAATAAAACGATAATAAAATGTTAAAGCAAAACCAACCAACAACGATCGCGAAGAATGAAACCCGATAATGTATTGCAGAAAACCACAAGAAAAATATATGATAATGTTTTGAAATAATGCGTTCAGCTTAATATTATTACTACGACATATAGCAAAATAACTACCACCATCCATCCATATACTCCACACATGTTTATTATACAAGTAGTTTTAGAATTTCATCGCATAGATATCAAATGATAAAACAAAGGCAACGTGCATCATAGATAATTTCTAACAAAGAAACGAATACGTTTTACCTTTTTCTGGTCCACAAAACGATTTTTTTCTCTCTTCTCCTCTCTGTCTCTCACCAACCACCACCATCTAGTGAAAATTCTTAAGCAACAACGTACCTGGGTCTACGTGTAAGATTTTTGTTTAGTTTTCTTAATCATATCCACATAATTTACCTGCATAAAACTTCCTAATCCATTCACCTTCCTTTACTTTACTACATATACATTGGTTTTATTGACATCATCAATATTTTGTACAAATCTGTAAATATGTTTCCATCATTGGATTTAAATGCTTAAATTATTTACAACATTTATAAATTATGGCGTGTGTCTTTTCTACATTTACATTTAAAAAGGAACATGTGTGTGTTTGCGTCGTCTAATTAACTTCAAATCTTCATATGTGTATTATATTATTTATTTAATTCCTGCGATGTTTGTTTGTGTTTCGTTTATTTATTTCATTTTAATTTGTGGTTTGCTTAATGTTTTAAAATGAAATGAGGAAATTAAAAATAGAACATAAAACATGATGACGGCGACTACGGGTGGTAGCTTTATAACAATGAAACAATGGCTTCTTTCGAATTTAATAATTTTATATATATATATTTACTTTAAAATTGAGTTCATAATCATGACATTTTATAAATCATTTTATTTATTATATACATTATTTATTTATATTTCTATATTTCGTACGAAAGTGTACTCGACAAAATACTTAAATAGACAACTAGCTGTACACTTCTTTAAAGTTTATAGAAATAACATTGGGCTGTATTTGATTATATAAAATAAAGCCTATTTTTATACACAAAAGTTGTCTTAAACAGAGCAACTTTTTCTGTAGAAAAGTTGTCTGAGATAAAGCAACCTTTTCTATAGGAAAGTTGTCTGAGATAGAGCAACCTTTTCTACAGGAAATTGGTCTGCGATAGAGCAACCTTTTCTATAGAAAAGTTGTCTACGATAGAGCAACCTTTTCCATAGGAAAGTTGTCTGCGATAGAGCAACCTTTTCCATAGGAAAGTTGTCTGCGATAGAGCAACCTTTTCTATAGGAAAGTTGCCTGCGATAGAGCAGCCTTTTCTATAGGAAAGTTGTCTGCGATAGAGCAACCTTTTCCATATGAAGGTTGTCTACGATAGAGCAACCTTTTCCATAGGAAAGTTGTCTGTGACAGAGCAACCTTTTCTATGGGAAAGTTGTCTGCGATAGAGCAACCTTTTCTATAGGAAAGTTGTCTGCGATAGAGCAACCTTTTCTATAGGAAAGTTGCCTGCGATAGAGCAGCCTTTTCTATAGGAAAGTTGTCTGCGATAGAGCAACCTTTTCCATATGAAGGTTGTCTACGATAGAGCAACCTTTTCCATAGGAAAGTTGTCTGTGACAGAGCAACCTTTTCTAAGGGAAAGTTGTCTGCGATAGAGCAACCTTTTCTATAGGAAAGTTGTCTGTAACAGGGCAACTTTTTCATAGAAAAGTTGTCTGTAACATAACTTTTTCTAAATTTGAAGTGTGAAATCAAACAAATCTAGATCAATTGAAAATTAATCTTTAAAAGTTGTTAAATTTTGTAAAATAAATTTTAAAAGTAGAAAAAATCCTTTTTAATACAATTAACTTCTTGCGACCCTTTAAGTTTATACTAAAAGCATATTGTATATGTAAACTAAAGCGAGAAAATTCACAAACGACTGTTAGTTATTAAACAAATGCATGCACTGTTTTTGTTAAAAATGCCTTAAATTTTTTGTTTATTTTGTTTATGTCATACAATAACATTTTCATGAGACAGTTTTATTTGTTACCCATGCTATAATCATTTAATTATTGATTTACTATTCAAATTTATATAATTTTTCATTCAATTAACTTCTCTTTACAATTTTAAACTCCTAAATGTTTAATACTACTCCTTTTATTATAATGTTTTTATATAAAACTATAACAATATGTTAAAATACAATAATAAAAATATATTTTTGAAATTTACAGCGTACATCCACATCCTTATAATAGCTCGGCAGCCAGACGTTCCCATCATCATCACCACAGCCACCACCATCAGCATCGTCCTAAACAACATGCAACAAAACAACAGTATACAACAACTACTACTTCTGCTAACAGCAATAATCAAACATCTGTCTCTCCGTCACAACAACAACAGCAACAACCCCGGGAGGAAGACAGCAACTCCAAATAAATGTGACCAAGAGTTTAAGAAATTGCAAAAAAGAAAAACTTCCATGTTTTTCTTAAGATTTGTTTTGGGAACGAACAGAAAATTATATTAGGATTACTTATTAATTAACTATGGACAAAATTATTAATATTATTTACCTTATTTTATCATAAAAATTACATTTAGTTTAGTTTTACTACAATAATATCTCAAGAAAATTCTTTCAACTGTGTGAATGAGTCCGAGAGAAAGAAAGTACGCAAGATAAATTCCAAGTATGATTGTTGTAACAAACAAAACTTTTGGTCTTTGTTGGTATGGCTGGCCGTGTTAGTTGGCAAAGAATTTTTCTAAAATTGAATTTTTTAAATCTTTCTTTTTTTCAATACAAATTTATAATTAATATTATTTTTTATATATTTTAAGTTTCTTTTTAATAACAATATTCTTGTAATGGAATTTTCAATTTAATTTGATTTCCTTTTTATGTTTTTTACAAAATTCAAGTCCTTTAAATTAAAAAATTCAATTTCATTTATGTTCTATTTTAGTTTTATTTAAACGTAATAAAACAATATCGTAAAGTAATGTAGTATGTAATAAAAAATAACAAAAAAAGCAAACAAGTAATAATTATAATGAAAAATCTCTTAAACAAAACAAAAACAAACAAAATGTATCTAAAATGTTTCTTGAATAAAACAAAAATTAAATAAAACCTCAAGATAAAGTGGAGAAAAGACCGTGGCAAATTTTGTATGGTGCATTTTAATTGCCAGCAAATGAAGGCATACTTTAGGGATTTGCATATAAATAATTTGAGGTGAAAAAATAAACCGGCATTTTCAAGGCATACCTTAAGGCGGTAAAATTAAAAAATTTCAAAAATAACCCTACTAGTCATTTCTGCTAGCCTGGTATTTTGCCAAAATTTTTAAATTTATGAAATCGGCTAAATTTCGTAGTTAGGGTGTCCCATACATAAAAAAAATATTTTAACGAGGGGGTATTAAATGAAACGAGAAATTTAGTGCAATTTAATGGATATATTAAATATTTTTTTATTTTATTCATACATTTTATGAAAAATACAATGAAATTGATACAATGAATTTGTTCCAGCTACTACAAATGTGTAATTTTGATGTTTTTTCAACAATTATAGCTATTTCTGGAACAGGGGCTGTAAATTCTTGTTGCATTGGTATACATTTTTGTTTTTAAATGGTATATAAATGATATTTTCCAGTACTTTTTCAAATTTGTGGCGCCTACAGTACATCCTTTTCGTACTCAATAATAAACGGGCAAATCTGAATAGTATTGGACTGAATTACATAAATATGTGCATAATTTTAAAGCTAATTTTACAAAACGTGTTGCATACAATATAACAATAATAAAAAATAATGGTTGTCGATTTCTGCCGTAGTTCCTGGCTGAATTACACGATCCAGCAGAAATTGGATTTGTTTATACACTCATTGACGTTGTGGAAAGCTGTCGCAGGTGGTGCTTTTTTCTCTGGTAGCAGAAATACCAAATATGGGAATGAATGGAACTTATTTTCGACTAAAGATGATGTGAATCATAATTTTATAACAATTTTGCTGCTCTTCGATGCGTATTTGCTCTTCCATCCTTCGAGAACTTATCTTACAACCAGTTTAACCTAAAATATAAAGATGTATTAAAATTAATTTATATATTATGCTGGTAAAAATGTAGAAATATACAATAATATGAAGGAAATCAAAAAATGTTAAATGGTATAATGAAATTCGATATTTTCAAGTTGTTTTCAGGACTGTCCACTTCGTACAAAAGTGGTATTATATATGTGTTCGAGTAAGCTTTCGTATCGAAATTAAACTAAACTATACTAGATTCTTGTTCGACAACGAATGACATCCTCTAAAAAAAGGAAAAATACCATAAATTTTATTTGATCACGTAAGCAGTAATTCGAATATTAAATATGGAATTGAAACCATCACCATCAGAATGTATGACTGATCTTTATAAATCAATAACTATGTTTCAATACTTATCAAATTTGCAAATTTTACTGTTCCCGTACTACAATTTTCAATATATTCTGAAGTTCTGACTCAAATTTGCAGATCTTACAAATACTGCAACATTTGAAATGGGAAAGAAATCCCAGTATTATGAAATTAGTGACAAATGTTTTCAAATGGTGTTTCAAAAACCAATTTCCTTCACATATTACAGACGAAATTGTCACTTTCGCGATCAAATTCGTTATCGAGCAAGAAATCTACTACATTTACGTCAATTTCTTTGCGATAAACCGATACGCAGCATGCGGTAATTCGTTCCTTTTTCATACAAATATTTCAAACAGTTTTATGATACGTACCTTATACTTTACTTCCAATCTAAAAATGTAGTCCTTAACTAATAACCGCAAACTCCAAAACTCAATGTTCCAGCTGAGCTTCAGATTCTCTCCAGTTGCGCTTAATCATTTCCACAATTTGTTTAAATAACAGTGATTTTGAGAAATAAAAACCAGCACAGCAAAAAATAAACAACCAAGCCAATATAAGTACATAATCTGTCTGACGTTGCACTTTCAAAGGTAATGGTGAGGGATTGCCATGCTTGGGCACTTCGGCTGGTTTAAGACCTGTATGGCGGGTAACAAAAGTATTGAGATTACCTTGAGCACGGTATTTTACCACAGGCCGGCCTTGATGGAACAGCATAAGTGTAGGTAAAGCCACTATACCAAATTCTGTATTAAAACTGGGAAATTTGTAGGCATCTATGGCTGCCACCGGTATGGTTTTGAAAGCATACGGTAAATCATTTATGGGAATGGCCACCAACGAGCAAGTAAAACAGCTGGGAGTATAGAAAAATACCAAAACACAGCTACCAGGCTGATAACGTTTGGTATTATTGCCTATAGGCTTAAGTAAATCCACTATTTCCTGCACACTTTCCATAACACGAAACTTATTGGTGCCATTAACTATAGAGGGATGCTCCGGCAGACATTTAACCATTATGGGTGGTTTGCGAGGACTTTCCGAGGCAGTTGTAGAGGGTAGTAGGTGTAAAATATACTCATCATCCATGTGACATTGTTGCGAGTCCTTATAGCTGATGTAATGCAAAAAACCATATAAACACTGACCTCTGGAAACACCCAATTCGTCTACTGTCATTTCTTCAACGGATTTTGTGTTATTGCTGGCATTGTTGGAACTATCCTTTTGTAAGAAATCAAATAGTTTGTAGACGCTGCCAAAAAATGAATTCTTAGTGGCTGCTTGAGTTCCTGTCGCACAGATTGCTTCAAATATATAAAAAATTATTGTTATTTTCATAAAATATACATATTATTTTAATGAAAGACTTACTAATTATTAAAAACAATGCAAAAATATTAATTTTCATATCTGTTTGTTACTTTTCTTAAAAAAAAAAAATTAAAACTTTTTTCTTCACCCAGCTGTTTTATATTTTATGTTTTTAGTACTAGCAACGCGAGTAATCGCTTCTACTGCATGAAAAAAAAAGGCTGCCAGATTGTTTAGTTGAGTAAAAGTGCTGCCATGTTTGCACATTTTCTTGTCAGTTAATGCGTTAAATTAAAAATGGGTTCAAGTGATTAATTTTTGGACAAAAATAAATTATGTTCTACAAAAAGTTAAAAAATTCTTCGATTATTGTAGAAGTGATCGGAAAATAAACAGCCTTTTCAACTTTAAAGTGTTTTAATGAAGAAACAAGAATTTTAATTACTTTGACTAAAGAAATCGATTTTTGAGATAAAAATATACCTAGAAACCTTCTTTTTCAATTTAAACCCCTTTAAATGAAGCCATTTACAAGCTATTTTATTAAACATTTGTGAATCTTAAAATTTTGGTCAACTCAAAATAGTCAAATCACAAATATTCTGCATTTTGATTAGGTTTGCGGATTCAGTTACGCAACGTTCGAACGCCTTCCAACAAAAGATGGACTCGTAAGAAAACAAAGCAATTCCATTTTGTTGCTGGTTGTGTGTACATACTCCGTATTGTTATTTTTGTGACAGAGTAGAATCAAAATTCAGAATATCAAATTTGCAAACGGTCAAAATTTAGATTCGAATTGAAATGCAGAATAGGAAGGAATGTATTTTTATCCATTTTTTTTCCAAAAAAAAACGTCCAGTTTTATTAAAGTCCCTTCTAATCTAAATTATATTTTATGTTCGTTTAGTTTACCTTTCTTGCGACAATTTGTCATGTGAAATGAAAAACTTTTGCAATTGAATCCATTTGATTTTTACTTAAATTATAAGAAAATGATTTTTTTCTTTTTACTAATATTTACTTGACCAAAATGAACATTATCCAATATATCCTTCTATTGCAACAACTGCTTGTTTTTGACCATTACAAATATACAACTTTTCTTGTGGTCGTTTGAGTGAATGGCAAGAAAAGGTAATAAAGATTCTGCCTAAAACTTTAAAAGTTGTGAAAACCAAGAATAGAACAAGTAAAAAAAAACTCATATAAAACTGAAGAAAATCTAAAGTTTATGTGATAAGTTTTTGGTAGTAGAGATGTCATTCACTCACTCATTGGCTTGCAAGTCTTGAAAGTTTACTCCATATACATACATATGTATATGTACTCCTGCTGTTATATGTATAGAGGGAGTTTGTGCCATGTATTTATCTAAATTGCAATTTACAATCAAAATCTTTGTTAGAACAGCTAAGAGAAAGGCTGAAATATTGTTTTTTCTTTAGATTTCTTTACCTAAAAATTGCATTTAAAATGATGATGATGGGCAAAAGGCCAAAAACTAACTGAAATTATCTTAAAAGATTGAAAAATGTGTCTGTAACATGTTTTTATGTGGGTGAGGAGTTTTCTACATTATTAAAAAAAATATCGACTAAAAAGTTTTCTTGGCTATAAACGAAACACTCAAGATTATATTTTTATTTTATTGTTTAAATTTAAAAAAAAAAAGTTCCTTTTACCGAGTTGTTTCCCATAAATTATCTTTTGATTCTTTATTTTAATGTCTTTAAGTTGTTATTTTCTATTATGCATATTAAAAAATGTATATCTCAACTGCATAATGTTGACAAGTTGTTCAAGTTTCCTTACAAGAAAACTAAAGGAACTAAAAAAAAAAAATAATAAATAAAGAACACTCAGCCAAAATATAGAAGAAATGAAGCTTAGAGCAATGAGTTAATATGACATTTCCATGAATATTCAATATACATAGTTTTATTTTAATATTAATATTTTATACCGTGGAGTATATACTTGTTATTGAAGAGACATTGCACTTAAAAATGTGCAGACAACGTTTACACTACCAAAGAAAAAATTATAATATGCAAAATATTTTTTTCGAAAAACTGCTAAATACTTGCAGAGATTTCCATTTTTTTTACCAAGAAAAATAAATGGTTCATGGATTAGGGGACGAGTTTTTTGCATTACTACTCCACTTTTTTTTTATCAGTAAATATTATCTAACAGAAAATAAATGATAATTTCTAACACATGGCTTAAGTGGGCGAGTTTTTTTGTATTCCACTGCTGTTTATTTGCTCTACTTAAGATTCCATTTTAAAATTTATTGAAATATTTAATTTGAACTACCTTAACTTTCAAATTGTTTCTTTAATTCATTTAACTTGGTCAAAAATTCGTCTCTTTGAGTTCTTCTTAGTGCCAATCTCTCCTTGGGAACCATTTCCTCACATTGGTTTGACAATTTTTCCAAAGTAGCACCCTCTTTCATTTCTGGTATAGGTTCATAGGTTTCACTAACTTTAAAAATTTCCTGTCCAAAACGTTTTACATAATCAGCAATACCATCAGCATTCAAATGTGCCGTCTCTAAAGGACCCAAAAAAGCATAACGTAAACCCAAACCCTCAGTCATAACGGTATCCACATCGGCCGCAGTTAATATATCATTTTCGATTAAATGCCACACTTCATTTAAAATGGCATATTGTATGCGATTGGTGGCAAAACCCAAGACTTCACGAGTTAATGTTACGGGTTTTTGTTTTATTTCCAACATTAAATTTTTGGTAAATTCTACAGCACTCTTAGAAGTCCAGGGTGCAGGAACAATTTCTACTAAAGGTATATAATAGGGTGGGTTTAAGGGATGTGATACCAAAATCTATTAGCCGGTAGAAAAAAAAAGAAGGAAAAATAAAAACATATTGAATTTCACAAACATATTGAGCAGTAGAGCTTGCATGCAGCATATGCTGTTGCATATGGAGTTTGTTTTAGTGTTGTTTTTTTGTCCTTACATTTTCTTTGTGCTTTAAATCTTGACTAAACAACGATGGCATAAAAGTACTCGTCGAACTGGAAATAATTGTTTTTGCTTCGACTATATCATCCAATTGTTGGTACAATGACTTCTTCCATTCAATACGTTCGGGTATGCATTCTTGTATGAATATGGCATCTTTAACCAACTCTTTAATGTCGGTGGTGGTTTTTATGCACTTAAATTGTTCGCTAGAATTTAAGTTGCCTCTTAGAAGTTTTTGTTCTTCCAAACGTTGCAATTCTTGTTCAATATATTCCAAAGCGGAAGTTAGTTGTTGCGGTAAAATATCATATAACATGACCTGATAGCCAGCGGAGGCGAATAACATGGACCAGGCTCGCCCTATAAGACCGCTATAAGATAATTTTTTACATTTTTATCCATGTGTTTTATTTTGTTTATTCTATGTACTTTACCTTCCCACGATACCAATTTTTTCTAATTTCATTTTGGTGTTTTTAATACTTTTCTTTACGACTGCCACTACTTGAATGATTTTTTCGTAATTGATTTAATATTTAAAGAGTTTTGATCACATTTAAGACTTGCGGAACAATTATCATACATTTTTATAGTGTTTACTACTTGAAGAAAGCAATATAAGTTTTTTGGTGGAAATGTAATGCATTTTGATTTTGCTAACATTAGTGCAAAAATAACTCCTCCATAAATACATGTTATAAGAAATTGTCAGTTATTTTATGTTAAACAAAAAAAAAAATAAAAAAGGGAACAGTACTTTTCTGACTTGATATTCATATACAAATTATATGTACATATGTATGTTAATCGATAAAAAATAACTCGTCCCCTTATTTGCAAACCTTGTGGAATAAAAGTTACAATATAAAATTTGTCTTTCAATATAAATCGACATTAAAATATCCATCTCTAGAGTATTTAAAAGTCGTTTAATTCGAACACAAATATTTTTTTTCATATTAAATAATTTTGTTCTTAAAACTTAAAGACTCTTATCGTTTAAAATTGAATTTCTTTTTTTTTTTTTAAATACATCAGCTAATTTTATTTGTACAAGCATATTTATTTAATAATAAATAATAATTCATTATGTGTTTGTGTATACAATAATATTATCACTCCCAGAGGAGTTCAATTTATGGGGTCAGTAGTGGCGAATAAACGAATAAATGAAATGTAATATTAAACAAGCAGTAAATTCATAAAAATTAATTATAATTGTCTTGTTATTTAGTTTTAATAGTAGCAAAAAAAAAAAAAAATTCTAATAAATTTATTAAGTAAATGAGGCATAAATTTAATAACGAATTAATTGAATTGAAATGAAAGTGATCAATTTATTTCAAAGGAATTAAAAGAAACAGAATTATAATATATTTTTGTTCACAAATATCCCATAATGTAGAAAAGGATCTCAATTTATAATCACATATTATAACAAATAGAAGCTTCCTAACTTGAGAAAAATTGTTTTATATTCCCCTCTTTTTATACCCATACAAATAATAAGTTATTTTCATGTACTTACATTCCATTTTCAGCTTTTGGGGTTGATTTCATTGGAAGCAATAGACCGGCCGGCATAATTGAAAATGATAGCAGAAAATATGACCATGGTTATCTAAAATAAATAAAAACACATTTACATAGAGAAACTTACAGTGGCTAGCAAGATTATTTTGTTTGTTTTTTATAAATTTCATAAGCTTCCGGCATATTTAAATTAGAAATAAATTAAATTTTCTTTAACGAAAAAATAAAAATAATATGGAAGGGTATAGAAAAAGTGAATGAAATTAAAATATATTCAAAGAAATATTAAAAAAAGCAAGCAGAAAATTATAGTCGGACCATATGATATTCTATCGCAGGGCTAGGTTATAAATGGTCGTTCGTAGAAGTTGTTGGAGAGAAAAATGTTAATATGTAATACGAAGTTTTATAAACTATTTTTATACCCTTCAATACTATTGCGTTCATTACTTAAAGAAAGCAATATAAGTTTTTTGGGAAAAATGTAACGCATATTTTAATTTTGCTAACATTAGTGCAAAAATAACTCCTTCCGAAATTCATGTTATAAAAAAAAAAAAATAAATAACGAGGGAAACAGTTTTACATAGAGACCATAATAAAATTATTGGACCTACACCAACCTTAAAGTGTATCAATCGACCCACACTTCCGATGTCTGTCTATGTGTCAATGTAATTTTTTGCATACGCTACTGATAAGATAATTTGATTAAATTTGGCATATTTGGACTCATAGTTATATTAGGGTTTCTTATATGTTATTTCTAGGTGATATGTGAAGTTCGGATAATGGTGATAGGAGCTCTAAGGTCCTTAGATTATATATAAACGTACTTCCACACTATCTAACCTACTTATTTATTCAATTACTTACTTGCTAACTTACTAACTTACTTACATACTTACTGACTTACTTACTAACATACTTACTCACTTACTTACATACTTATTGACTTACTTACTAACATACTTACTCACTTACTTACATACTTACACACTTACTTACTTCTTTATACCCTACACCTCTTTAGTGGGGAGGGTATATTGGATTTGTGCTGATGTTTGTAACGCACAATAATCTTGGTCCTATACCCACCTTAAAGTATACCAATCGGCTTAGAATCATTTTCTGAGTCGATTTAGCTATGTCCGTCCGTCTGTCCGTCCATGTAAACCTTGTAATCAAACTACAGGTCGCAATTTTGAAGATAATTCAATGAAATTTGGCACATGATCTTATATTGGCCCAGGGACGAAGCCTATTGAAAATGGTTAATATCGGTCCATTATTTCACCTAGCCCCCATACAACTGAGCCCCCGAATAGGGCTTGTAAACCTTGTAATCAAACTACAGGTCGCAATTTTGAAGATAATTCAATGTAATTTGGCACATGATCTTCTATGGTACCGGAGACAAAGCCTATTGAAAATGGTTAACATCGGTCCATTTTCTCATCTAGCCCCCATACAACTGAACCCCCGAATAGGGCTTGTAAACCTTTTAATCAAACTACAGGTTGCAATTTTGAAGATAATTCAATGAAATTTGGCACATGATCTTCTATTGTCCCAGAGACGAAGCCTATTGAAAATGGTTAACATCGGTCCATTTTCTCATCTAGCCCCCATACAACTGAACCCTCGAATAGGGCTTGTAAACCTTTTAATCAAACTACAGGTCGCATTTTTGAAGATAATTCAATGAAATTTGGCAGATGATCTTCTATGGTACCGGAGGCGAAGCTTATTGAAAATGGTTAACATCGGTCCATTATTTCACCTAGACCTCATACAACTGAAAACGACGAATAGGGATTTTAAGTTTATAATTATGTTTAATATACTCGTATCTCGACAAAAAGCTGCAAAACCAAGTTCTATACTAGCCTTGATGACTCGCATGAATTTTATAATTATAGGGTCTCATTTGACCATAGCCCCTATACAAATCCCCCTTCAAAATTTGACTTAAATGTCCACAATTTTATTCAACAATAAATGGCTTAAGTATAATTTAAGGCAAGGTGCAATTCAACTTAAATGCTTTATTATGAAAACTAAATCACATTTTATTTTTGTAACAGGTGTAGGGTATTATATGGTCGGCCTCGCCCGACTATAATTTCTTACTTGTTATTTATATATTTACATACTTATTTACTTACTTACTTCCTCACTTACTTACTTCCTTGCTTACTTACTGACTTACTAACTTAGTTATATATATACTTACATACTTATTTACTTACTTATTCCTCACTTACTTACATACTTGCTTACTTACATACTTACTAACTTAGTTACTAGCAAATTTTATTATTACTTACTTACTTCCTTACTTTCTTACTTACTTACATACTTACTTACTCACTTGCTTAGATACTTACTTACTCACTTACTTATTTATATAATTACATACTTATTTACTAACTTACTTACTTGCTTCCTTCCTTACTTTCACACTTACTTCAAAACCTAAAATCAAACTTTTCTTTGTTCTCTATAGCAAAATATTTACATTATTTATTTACATTTTCCTTAAAATATTTTTCTGTTGTTTAATTTTCAGTCTGAATTAAAAGCACGTTTAATATTAAACGTGACAATGTTTTTCATGATTTTATTACAAAAAATTTTATTATTGTGTTAATTCTGGTAAATCTGAATACCTAACAAATAACATTTCAATTGTTGAGTAAAGTTAAGCTAAAGGGTAGATTTCGTATTAAAAGATAAAATCCATGTATTAAGAAAATGATAAGTAAGTTGCAATTTAACATTATTAATAATTATTTTAATTAAAAATTAATTAATATTACGTATACGCTATAATAAATATAATGGAAAATTTTAGTCAAATTCTTAAATTGTATCGCCTACAGAACATCCCCAATTTATTCTCGTTGTGTATGCAACATAATTATATTAGTATTTATTTGTACGTTTTCCACGTTACTTATGTCTCCAAGACTGTAATTGTGTTAGAATTTTGTGTTAATTTTGTTAATAAATATTTCGTAGAAAAAGTTTTATAACTTTATTTTCATCTTAAGCTTGTTATAAATTCAAATCTTTGTTGTTAAACTATGTGTGTCATGTGTTGAACTGGTGATTGTCGTTGCTTCCAAATGTATAAAGCTATTATTTTAGTTAAACGATTTATAGGAAAATGTACATATAAGAATAAAAATTAATTAAATTTGTCATTGTGGTTAAAAATTCAATTAATTTAAATTAGTTTTTGTTTAAATTATATGAATGAAATTAATAAGATGTTTTCATTTAATAATATTTGTTATAGTTTGGGTTATAGTGATAATGAGTAAGAAGGCTGTACAAATAAATAGTTCTGAGAGTTCAAAGATCCGAAAACAAATAGGCCTTCTTTGGGCCTGTTGTGCGCTTCTTAACTAGTGCTTCAGGTGGGAATCGAACCCACCACCTTCGGTTTAGCAGACTAGAAAACTAACCACTAATCTACTGGAGAGCGTAAATACGTTTTGCAAGTAAAATTTTAGTAAAATTTCAAGAAAATATTTAAATTTATCTAACAATAATAAGAAATACATTTAACACTTTGTATAAAACGACCTTCTCGACGCATAAGTAATATTTTCTTGTACCCTTGAATAAATAGCACTCATACGTTACTAAAATGCATGTTCAGTCTACAAATTAAAAAAATATTTTGCCAGAGAAAATGCTGAAAACTAGAAAAAAATCGATTTTTATATTGTATTTGTAAAAAATGTTTGAGAATTGCAACAATTATACAAATTAAATCTACCTTAACAAATTAAAAAGTTGTGTTCATATTTATACTATAATTAAATGACAAACAAAAATGTTTCTCTAAACCACAATTTACATAAAAACCCATAATTTAAAAGTTAGAAAAATATATGCACACAAACCTATATGCAAGTCATACTTCAGGGACTTTCTTTTAAAATTTGTGGTTTATTTCTTGGTTTCATTTTTTCAACTTTTTATTTTTGCAATTTTTCATTGTCAAGGTAGGAGTGGTCATTATTTAACATGTCTCCATAATGATAAACAACTATCAACATGATAAGGCAAAAAAGGAAAAAGATAAATAAAATACAAGAAAAAAGTGAATAAATGAATGTACGTACGTAAATGTAGACAAAATCATCACATAACAAGAATATTTTTTTAATGGTAGTTTATATTGTTTTGGTTTTTTTGCTTTATTTTCCAAGGAGGCAGGAGAAAGTATGACATTGTTATTGTGTTCTACAATATAAGAACATATACAGTATAACCTCATCATACCTAGACGACAGTTTGAAAATAACAAAATAAAATTCTTTAAACTTAAATGAAAATGATGTACGTTTGTATGAGTTGCATTTTTATATGCAACTCATACAAACGTATGAGTTGCATATAAAAATGTTTGTGAGATTTCCTGTAGTTCGCATAACTGTTCTCTAAAGTTCAGTAAGGGACAATTGTCTTCCATTTGTATTACAAAGAGTACATATCAAGAAAACATTTAAATTATGATTCAAGTAAGTGCTTAAACATTTTGGAAAAACTGCTGGGTTATGTAAAGACATAACACTGATACATTTACATACAAATAAGTACATAAGTGTAACAGTAATGTACATACTTTTACATGCATAAACATGACTTTTGAAAAATTTTCACAATATGTCTGGTTTTATGTTGTTTTTTAAGTATAAAGAACACATTTTAAGAGTAAATTGAATGGTGTAATATGTCAGGGAAGTAGAGAAAGAAAATAACTTAACTAACGAACATATAAGAAGCTTTAACCATGAAAAAAGCTTATGTGCCAAACACAAAACATTTTTTAAATGGAATTTATGATTATAACCTTTAAATTGTACTTTAAGACATTGAATTAATAAAATTTTTATATAAAAACTATTTTAAATTATAAATTTTCATTAAAAGTACAAAAGCAATTTTCGCAGTTAAGGTTAGCTGTAAGTTTATACATATGAATACGAAAATATACTTTGTCCGTACAACAATATTTGTTATATAACAACAAAAAAAAATCAAAACAAATATAAGAAAAATAATGATAAG